TTAACGCAACGTTTAGATAGTAGAAGTCAAAGCGAGAGGAAAGGGGTGATATTTCGATCGATCTGCCATTTAACTAAATGGAAAATGATCGATAAATAGGGTGTTCGCAACGAACACCTGAATAATCGATTCTTTTTCATAGTTTCAAATAAAGAAATATGGATAATGGACCATTCACACTTGACCACTGGAAAGGGGGAAAAATTCATATGTGCGATAGCTAGGCACTGGTCACGAATGAACTACATTTTCCAATATAGAACTACGATTACTATTTCAGGTTCAAAGAGGACCCATCTAGACGGGGAAATAATAAATGGCGTGTATCGACGGTGAAACTGCAAAAACTTGCATTTCGTTTGCGCCATTTCAAAATCTCCGCTCTCATTTTATTCAATCAAAGGAGAAAGAATAAATGCCATTGCTAGAAATTCTCCAAGAATGCTCTTGAAACAAACGAGAAAAATCAGGGAAGTTATCGAGATGTGACGTTGAGTATTTCTCCATTTAAAAAATCCCCAAGTCTAATAGAATGATAGTGTTAAAAAATGAGTTGTGGATTTTTGCAGGGCGGTCGTCCTCCGCTGAATTACGGTCCAATTGCACATGGAAACCAGCCGTCCAACGAGCCGGCGACACCGGGTAATCCCTACGGACGCGGTTGCGAAAAACCTGAACAATGTAGTAAGTATATTTCGCCTATTTCATCGTACTCTTGAAATTTGTAACTCCCTTAAAGTTTGTGAAAATTATCACATTTTTTCTTGCGAATTTTCAATTTTTTTTCCAAGGGTGGATTTTTCTGATTCTTCTCAAGGATCAGTTTTCGAGGTTATTTTGTAGACTCCACCCGAGATTCGTTGAAATTGTCCTTTTCATAATGCGACGTTGAGGCGAGTTAAGGGCCTACTTAAACTTCCCTGAGAATGAAAAACTATCCCTAACCTAACTCGAGGTTATTTCGTCATATTTTCTCTAATAATTGTCCAATTTAGAAACCAAGGATATCCTCGTACTAAGTTTTCCGAGTAGTATCATTTTAAAGATGAAATTCACAACATTTAAGACACTTGCAAATCCTCTGTTAGAAGAAAAAAACCGATATGTATAGTTTGCGAACAAGGAACCGATATTTTATATCTCAATGAACGTTGATTGATAATATTGAATTTGTGCTGTTTTTCGCAGATTTTGATCGAATTCTGTACGACCGGGAAAAACCCGCAATATCAGAGGCATTGTATAATTAATGACAAACTTTTCTTGCTTGGGATCCCCGATTGATCAGTCGCTTTCAATTACGCACGTATGCAACATCGATAACAAAAAAATGACTCCCTCTTATTTTTCTATCTTCAGCCGCTGATATGATTCCAGTATACGTCTTTAAAGCATGCGAGGCTATTCCTCCACGTATCGCGTGTAAAATATAGAATGAATTGCAAAAATAATTTTCAGTGCTGGTTTTTTTTCAATTCAATATATTGTTGCTACTGTTATTCTACTAACATATTATTATTTTTTTTCTTTTTTTGTATTCTCTTGTTGTAGGGGGTCCACCGGCGAATAAAACACCCTGATGATAAAACAAGGTCATAGTTCCAACTTTCAAACGTTACAGAGTCTAGGGTTCACGGAATGCGAAATCTTGAAACCATTATTTTTATTATAACTATTTTAAGTAAATGTCATCAAACACGCTCTCACGGAAATCCCCTTCTGGCAGGGCCGTGCTGGTCGCAAGTGAGGAAGACTCAAAGTTTGTCGGTCGGGAATTTGTGGCTGCCGAAACAACCACGGGTTGCATTTGTATTATAAGGGTACCTGAGAAACCTCCTACCTAAAGGAACCTAGGGAACCTAAGGTACCTAAGGGAAGACCTGAGAAAACAATATGAACTGTATTCCCCAAATATACACATTTTCCAAAAAACTTTGGCCTTCCTGGTTTTTTCCCCCGTTTTCCTTATGAATTTGATTATTTTCATTGATTTGCTTTAACAAAGAACGAACTATTTTAGACCTACCGACTGTGCAGGCATATGACGCTGTACAATCTCCTTCAGTTTTGACAGTTATGCAATTTGAGCTACTCACCGCGCGGTCGAAATGAAGTGTCAAAATCACAGTGTTTGACGGATATCGACGGTGAAACTAACAGACCACGTATCTCGTTTGCGGTGTTTAAAAATCTCCACTCACATTTTATTTTTTTGAAGGAAATCAAATTTATATCATTCCTTATAATTTTCACAGATTTTTCTCCGCTCCGAGAGGAAAAATCACAGAAATTTTCAAGACTAGACGTTAAGTAGTTTTTCATTTAAAAAATAAAGTATGACAGGAAGTCTGCGACGTCGCAAACCGAGATACGTGGTTTGGTAGTTTCACCGTCGATATGTAATAGCCTATTACATATCCGTACATATCCGTACATATCCGTTACATTATCCTATTACTAATAGGACCATTTCCACTGCCTTTCTTTCCCCCTCCCTCATTCTGAGGAAAAGTATTTGTTTCCCACTCTCCTCCCACCCATCCTGGTTTTTACAATTACGGCCTTATTCATCTCAAGTATAAAGAGAAAAACTTGCGAGTTGGCAGTACAATTTTGAACTTTATTTGTGGATCGACGGCATGGCCGACAATTTCAAGCAGAATAAATAGAGAGAAACCGCGCGATTTACCTGTGCAGAATCTACTTACATGTCAACGGTGAAAGTCGGCAATCACATAGGTATCTCGTTTGCGGTGTCTGAACATCTCCGCCTCTACGTCATTTTTTTAAAGGAGAACAAATTAAAATCATTCCTTGAAGTTTTTGCAGAATTTTCGTCGCACAGAGAAGAAAAATTACGGCAGTTTCCAAGAATTGCCGTTGAGTAGATTTCCGTTTAAAAAATAAAGTATGACAGGAAGTCTGCGACGTTGCAAACCGTGTTATGTGATTGCCGACTTACACCGTCGATGTGTATTATTTTAACAGAAATATTATTACTCCATATTTATTATTAATATCCGTCAGCTTTGAAAAACAAAACAAAAAAAACCTTTTTTTTATGGACATGCGTCAGCCATCCTCACCTCTGCCGAGATCGCCTTTGAAAATTTAATAACATATATCTGAAATTTCATGAAAAATATCCTGAAATTTAACCGTGATATTTCCTCGTGGAATTTCAATTTCTTATTTTCTATGTTTACCATCTCAGCTCAGCAGAATCTTCTCCATCGACGGAGATTATTTGAGTGTCGAACTCACAAGCTAAGCAAGAGATTGTCAGATGCATTCGGTAGTAGCTCCCCTACTACTGATGACTGCTCGCTCGTGAAAACCGAACATTATAGTTTATCGATTTTACCTCCCGGTGAATACAGCTCAATTTATATTTCTCACTTCATACCTGCAAGCTTGTTCTTTCGAGCTACTCCTCATATTCTCCAGCAGAGCTCATCGGTAACTTAACCGTTGGAAAAATCGATTACCAACTTTCATGACCGAACGATTCGAACTGTTACTGACTATGTTTGGCGATTCATTTCAACAGCCACCGACTGATTATTGAAATTGATAAGCCGAACAATTGATAAGCCAAGCAATTGATACGGAAGACGATAGGAAAATGGAGCAACCTTTTTGGGTTGAAACGGGTCATCTTCATAGACTAAGGGGAAAACCGATGGAGTAACTATGGGATCCCTTCTAGGTGGCAGTTAGTAAGTCTACTACTTACCTCCTTTGTCCATTACAACCATCTGCCTCCACCAATAGGATCACTCCATTTGCTCCTGGTCAACTTTGTATATTGCTTTGTCTATCAATTTCAATAATCAGCTCGCTGAGCTAAGAAAGCATTACCTAGGTCCGCGACGTTGTCGACCTCCACGTCACAGTTAATTTTTTGACTAGGAAACTTATGTTTTGTAACAACAAACGTGTTTTCTGAGTTAGGCAATCGATAGAATCGATTCATCGGTAGAAATACTTGATGTTCTTGATATGGGTAACATAGTCTTCGTCTCATGAACTGTAAAGGATCCGAATCAATGCCGGGGAAGATTTTGAAATTTACAAGTTGGTTACCGTCCAGAAGTCCTCCTGGTGAAATCATTTTAGAGAGAATAACCACGACCAAAACGGAGCCACGTATCTCCGTTAACGATGCTCCACACTTCCTGTTATACAATATTTTTTTTTCTGTGGGGGGGGGGGAGCTAGTGAACGTAATTTCTTTTTAGCTTCCTTGGTTTTTCCTCTCTGCTAGCAGAATATTCTGCTAATTTCAAGCCATGAAGTCGGCTTGTTCCTCCTTAAAAAATGAAATAAAATAGGGGTGGAAATTTTGAAACGCCTTACTTAATGGAAATACGTGGTTTTGCACTTTAGCCATCGACAACCTACTCTGCCGTGCTAAGGAAGAACGTCGTATGAGCCTTCAGACGTTGCCAAGTTTCCTCAATAAAAACTGAATTTACTGGGAGAATCGCGAATATTTTTTTCCAAACTTTTCAGACAATTTTGCACACAATTCGTTCTAAAATATCTGAAAATATCAAGGGAAAATATGCATGAATGTTGTCAAAAATACATGTTTTATCAAGGGAAATTTGGCAACTCTCGAATGTTCATACGGCGCTCTTCCTTAGCACGGCAGTGCACAGGAACGGTTACGCAGCGTTTCCGAATAACCAAGGATACCCGTCGAAAAATTCGGTTCTCACCGAACGACGGTAAAGTCATCCGAATTTATTTGCTTTCGTCACATATGGTTGCTGGCGGGGCGCTAACGATCCGGACGCGATAAATATCGGAGCGTCGAGGCTAACATATGTGACACGATCCCGGCATCTGTATCAACGGCGAGGCACCCAACATACACACACGACGATGAAAATAATGCCCGTATCGGGAAAGCAGGAGCAGCGCTCGGGTTTCGGGCGGGCCGTGGGCGTGGGGTATAAACATAACCTAAGAGGAGCAACAAGTCCTGGGCTTACCTGCGCTGGCGAGGTCCATGGTGGCGTCGGATGGGTCTTGACGGCTGGAAACTCCGAGTGCGGGGTCTCAACGGGAACGGCACATTTTGGGTTGAGGCACTGGCCACGGCGGAAACTCGACTCGGGAGGTGCGAAGGAAAAGCGGAGTGGCCGCCGACGTCCGGATGAGCAACGGGAATGAATGTAGGGCAATCGATAAAAACGTTGGGGACGCCAACGGCGGCGCGGCGCGGAACGGCGCTGGCCCGAGCGGGAGGACGAGGAAGTGCGATAACGGACGGCTTCGCTCGCACTGCCGCCGCCACCGCCGTCGACGGAGCCCCCGACGCCAGGACCCGCACGCCTGCGCCGCGACGCCCGGCAAACCGCCACCGCCGCCGCCCCGCCACCCGAGTCCAGCCCGGCCGAGCCGAGGCATGACCTTAAAACCGAGGCGTTAATATTGAACTTGACTTTGCAACCCTCCCCTCCCCACCATCGCCATGCAGCCAGGGATCGTTCTCCCGGGGTANNNNGGGGGGGGGTGGTAGTGGTGGTGGTGAATGAAAGACCGTTAGGTGTGATGCCCATCCTGCGAGTACGGACGGAACCATGAGTTTTCGGGGGAGATCCTCGCAATTTGGGGAGGCCTCGGATACAGAAAGATAATTCGGGGGATCGTTTCTCGGGGAGGGGGGTGGGGTGAATGAAGGACCCATCCTGCGAACATGGTCGGAACTGCACATTTTTGGGGGAATGAAAGACCGTTAGGTGTGATACCCATCGCGTGAGTATGGACGGAACTATGACATGTTTTGGGGAGCTCCTCGCAATTTGGGGAGGCCTCGGATACAGAAAGATAATTCGAGGGATAGTTTTCCCGGGGAGGGGGGGGGGTTAATGAAAGACCGTTAGGTGTGATGCCCATCCTGCGAGTTGGACGGAACTACGACATTTTTGGGGGAGATCCTGGCAACTAAGGGAGGCTCGCGGGCTGATTATTGAAATTGATAAAAAAATCGATGAGCGAGCGGAGGGAGAGTAGGTGACGGTCAGAGGGTCGTTGAAAAACTCATTTCCACGCGGAGCCAGGTCACTGTCCGTATGCACTTATTTATGCCAACATCATTGGTGAGTAGGTCGACGTTAGTAGAAGAATACGATAGCAGAAGATTTGGTTCGAAATTTAAAGTCGTAAATTTCGAATGTTTCTCATGGAAGAGATGACATAAGAACGGACATTTTGAAACACCGCAATGGAGATACGTGGTTTCGCACTTCAGTCGGTGCGATACGGACATCCATCAAGTTTAAATAGTTGCATCAAGTCCCCGTCACCGCCGACCGACGCGTTTGTCGATCGAATCAACTATAGGTAGTATGAGTAGGGAGTCAAAACGCCTTCAATTTTTTGAACGCAATACGGACATCCGTCGAGGTTGTATAGTTGTATCAAGGCGCCGCGCCGTAGCAAGCGCGTCCCATTGTTCATCGTTACAGACGCATATAAGTTGAGAGAGGCAAGTCATAATGCCTTCCATTTTATACATACATATTCTTGGGCAAAATGAGAGACGACGTTTCTCCGTTTGCGACGTTGCAGACTTTCTTAGAAATTTTTATTTTTCCTTCGAGAAGCTGCTCAACATAAAAATTCAATTCTCCGTGATATTTCGTATTCGATAGCAGATGATTTGGTTCGAAATTTAAATTCGTAAATTTGGAATGTTTCTCATGGAAGAGATGACATAAGAACGGAAACTCTGATTGTTGATTGATTGTATGAAGGCAATGAAGACACACTATCTGACTTACTCTTAAGTTATTAACTAAACAACATTAACAATGTAAATATTGCATGTTATTACGCCATATGTGCCTGTGCATGCATATGAAATGCCTATTTTTGTCCCACCAGAATTTTCTTCTGCAAAATTACATCAGAGAACCATTAATTAACTGCGTTCCATCTGTTAAATGACCTGACCCTAGACTTTAAGGGTCAAACTTTCTCGTAGTTTCGTAGTTAACAGTAACAGGAGCCTGGTTTTGGTTTCTGCCCCAGAATCATTCACTCACTCGAAAAATTCGTATTAAGTTAGAGTTAGCACGCAGTAACCAACGAAGACCGTCGCGGGTTGGGAAATGCGCGGGCGGGGGAGGGGAGGACGTGCGAGGGGCGCCTCGAAAATTTCTGCACAGGGCGCCAAAAACGTAAATCCGGCCCTGAACAGAAAAATTAACTTTATCTGAGATCCTCGCTTGTTACCGACTCTGCTGAGTCAAAGTAGGTTTATTATAAAAAGTCGTTCTCCCAACTTTATTGATTTCTTCGTTTTAGACATTTGAAACTACTTTAGAGCAAAAAATGTGGAAAAATCAAGGGGAAAACTTCAATTAAATTTCCGCTTGCCGTCATGGGCTCCCGCAATTATTTACACACTCACACAAGCACAGAGCGCAAGGGCGGCTTCACTTCTCACCCTCCCCCGTCTTACTAGATACGAGTGCTTCGTCTTCATGTCTATGATTTTGACCAACAAAAACATCTGTGACGATTGTGACGTCGTAACTTCAGGACAGCATATTTTGGGCAAATAGTCGCGTGGAAGACGCCTTTTTCTTTTTTTTAAAAACAGAATTAATTGTTTATTCGACTAGAAGTATTTTTGATGCAATCATCACCAAAATTGAAACTGTTTATCAGATCAAAAAAAAGTTATGAGGCTGTAAACATTGCAAACCTGACAATCATGACGGTGACAGCCGTCACATTTTAAGTACCTAGTAAAAGCTGAAACTGAAGCTTAATGCATCGATTTACACAATTTTAGCTGTCAGAATTCCTTCAAAACACTTACTTGCCATAAGATTAGGTAAAATGTGAGATTTTTGAACACACATCTTAAAACTACTCTCCAAGTTCGTGACTGAAATAGGACACTTTTCGTAAAAGTGCCCTTATTAGCGCCTACAAGACTTTAAGAATACTACACGCATTGCGCGTTCACTACAGTGCGCGCTTTAATCGTTGAAAATTCGTAATATTTTGGTGCCGGATCCATCACGGTCCACACTATTTCCGACCAGTGGGCACCCCAAGCCTGCAATCCTAGGATCGAAGGATTGTAGAGATTTTGCATCCCTGAATGGTATTATCATATCGACGGTGAAAGTCGGCAATCACATAACTCGTTTGCGGTGTCTGAAAATCTCCGCCTCTAGGTACGTCATTTTTTTAAAGGCGAACAAATTGATATTATTTCTTGAAGTTTTTGCAGAATTTTCTTCGCATTGAGAAGAAAAATCATGACAGTTTTAAAGAATTGCCGTTGAGTAGTTTTCCATTTAAAAAATAAAGTATGACAGGAAGTCTGCGACGTCGCAAACCGAGTTATGTGATTGCCGACTTTCACCGTCGATATGGTAACCAGTGGTCTAAAATCAAACATGTGACTGAATCTGTTAAATGAATGAGAAACAAATAAAACACTCTTTAAGAAAAAACAGAACTTTTACATTTATTCACCTTGATAAAAAATATTTACATACATACATTACATACATTCACTCTGATGGGAGAATATTCCTTCAAAGAGGGATCAGAGCGATAGCAAAATCTCAAAGAGCAGACAAAGGTGTCACCAAGAAGATCCAGAGCTCTAGGTAGTGAAATCAATTAATTCTAGAGGTAATATTAGGTATGTTTCAAACCTCCTAGATTCCAGAAATACCTTCTTGAATAACAGAAAATTACACTAAATTTGAACTAAAATCTTTCCAGAAAAACAAAGTATAATTGTCATGAAATTGCTTACCCTAAACATAATGCTGCACATAATCTTAAAATTTTGCTAGGTTTCAGAAATGAAATGAAGTTATACCTCAACTTTCTTAACATACTAAATTAGAGGGCCTAAGAATCCAGGAGTATCAGACATCTTTAACACAGGGAAAAAAATGTTAGAGAATTCTTCGCTGGCCACAACGTTTGTACCAAACCAAGAAGTTCAATGAAATAAACCAGACATAAGCAAGGCTGTGTTTTGCGAATTTTTTAGACGAAAATTAAAGGACCATCAGTCACACTCCATTATTCAAGTTCTGGAGTGGGGCTCTCATAAGCGTTAGGGATTTGCGATTTTATTTCGCTAGAAACACGATGGTACCACTGCTCTTCTCTGAAACTGACTCTCAAGCCCAAAGAAATCTCTTAAAGTAGAGAACATACCTAATGGAGGATGTCCCTTTGCTACGCTGAGATTCCACCTCTATGTCTATTCAAACTCTTTATGCACTGATAGGGAGCAAATACATTGGCAGGGTTGCTTTGGTTCCAACCTCATAGTCTCAAAAAGGCAGCCCTGCTAATAATTTTGCTCCCTATCTGTGTATTGAGAGTTTGACTAGAAAGAAAAGAAGAGACAAAAGTCACATCAGTCTGGATGCATCAATCATCAGTTGGCCCATTGGTTGGCATGTAAATATCTGTTGAATGGTGCAATTTTTGGATGTGACATTTGTCTCTTCTTTTTTACCCCCAGTTCTAGATAGAGCAGAGGACTCTCAGTGTAGCCGCGATGGATATTGGATACCCTTGCAGTCTCAATTTTAAGAGCTGTTTTTACAGCTAGAAAGTTCATTTCAGATAAAACCATTTGCACAATCGTTTTTCTAGTGATTATTTTACTTAAAAAAAAAAGAGAGAAAAAAAGAATTTAATCTGTAAATTTCTAACGCATGGAAGAGCTACATTGCTGTAAGTCTGGTTATACTTTATGATTAAGAAATCGAGGTTCTAAGCTTTAAGTACAATTGAGAGATTGAGATAACGAGCCTATCTTATTTAAGATAATTAACTTGCTCTTAATAATTACACTAAATGAATTACAGGTACTGCAGTAACCTAAATATGATGCAAAATTCAGAGGAAGAATCGAACATTATTAACAATTAAATCGACAGACTTATGTATATATATTTGTGCGGTAGCTGAGTTATTGCCTACTTAAACTTATTTCACTGCAAAGCTGGGCCAAAGTGTCTATTTGTTAGATTAAACTGAGCAAAATGCAACGAAAACTGATGAAAACTTATAATTTTCTCAAAAAAAAAATTGTTGGAGCAAAATAAAGTTCACATAAGAAATAAAAAGAATGGGCTCAAAAAGTGGGAGCAATAAAAAATTACAACATTGAAAAGTGAAGCAAATAAACAAGTTGTAAGAAATGTAGTACAAGAGATTGAAAGATAAGTCATTCAAAGTAAAAGCAATTAATAATATTTTCTGAGCCAAAAAAAAAAAAAAAAAAAAAAAAAAAAAAAAAAAAAAAAAAAAACCAATCAAACACTTTTGATGTGTAGGGAAAATTATATGTTATTCACTCCATTAGTTTATTTTCACAAAGTTAAAGTGCTAGGAGGCTTTGAGTAACTCCTTTTACATTTGAGTGTACTCTTGATACAATTCCGGTGATTTTACTGAACTCTTACTGATGTAAATAATCGAACTAGTAATAACATTATCAAAATCAAAAGATTTCAAAATCTATTAATTTGCAGACAAGATAACACGTAAGGTAACATGCAGCATTTGGTTTTAACTTTAATTACAGCTAGCTAATGTTACATTTTCAGGGCATGATACTGACTCAAATAAAACATTTTACAAAGAATAATTTAGTTTTTAATTGCTCAAACGTTAGAAAACACATTGCTCCGTTTATCTAACCTTCGCATTGCCCATGCTACGTACAAAGATCCACCCATGGAATTGTACATTGCTGGATGAAATTCTCTACCCTTATTGTCGATTGCTTTACAAGAAAGTACTGCTGGCAAATTTTTTCCTTGGCAAGATGAAGGATTTCTATGGTATGGATTTTTAAAAGGTGCATCAATATACAATTTCCAGCTCTTCCCTTACTAAAATTTAACAATCATCGTTCTGGTGAGAATGTTGCATTTCACTAGAGGACTCTCTCTAACTTAAAAAAAAAACGAGATGAAGAAGATTAAAGACCAGGGATACACTCAGAAGAAGAGAGAGAAAAAATCTGTCTTGATTATTCGCCTCTAAGTTAGTAATAAAAAAACTGAAAGCATATTGCAAAATAGCTTGAAAGCTCAACAAAACCAAAAAATGTGAGTAGTTACAGAAGAGGCATAACAAATAACAATATGCCTGGAATGTTAAGGATGGTGCCATCCTTTCGAAGACTAGAAAACTGAAAATAATGTAACAGAAGTAACTTAAAATAAAACCCAGAATCAAGGTTTCTGATAAATTCAAGTTTTGATTTTCGTCTCTTTTATTCCATTATTTTAAGTATCCTGGTTGAAATAGGGGCCGATGCTATCCTTAAAAAATCCAAGGCATAATGTCATCTATTTTACCTCAGCCTTGGTTACCCTATTTTTGTGTTTTGCTCTGAAACCAATCCTCCAGTTTTCTGAGTAAAATGTGCAAAATTGGTATATGAACAGCGATATTACTTTTGAAATTTCTCTTCAACTTGCCCAGCAAAATGGACACAAAAACGTCCTTACAGCAAGATTTCAAAAATAAAGTTGTAGCAATGTCTTTCCGCTTGTAATGAACGCAGGTTGGTAAGAAACTTTAAAAATCCTGAAATAATAACCTTAAAAGTAATAAAAAAAACAAGAACTCATTTTAATATCATTGTGATGAGAAATAATCAAAGAAAAACTTATCATATCGGGAAAGGTCTCAGAAATGAAAGAACATCTCTCTTGAAGCTCATGAAATTTACATACATATACATAATAAAATACAAATTCTTAATCAAAAAGGAAAACTTATAAATTTACAGGTAAAGAGATCTACTCTGAGTTCCAGGTGATTACAATTATTGGTACAATGTATTACACTTGCAAAATATCTGAAGGCAAAAAGCCATTTCAATGATTTAACCTAACGGTCATGATTTCTATTTAACAACCTAACAACATGAGGGCATCTGATGAAAATATATTTATATGATAGAATCAATTTGTTTAATTTTTAGATTCACTTGGAGTTACTTTGTGAAATTAGAGTCCAAAAACGACCTTTGATGCTGGTTCAAACTTTGAAATGAGAGTAGAGGACAAAAAATTCCCAACGTGAAAATGAAAGTCGACCATGAACAATAAAGACTATTTTTTACCAAAACTTCGACCGATAGCTCACGAGAGTTTCTTATAAAGCTTTTCCTCTGTGGGGCGATCTGAATGCTAAGAGCAATTTAAACCACCGTTGATAAACACTCCAAATCTTACTTAAAATAAACAATATGCAAATAATCAAAGCAAGTGTTTCCTTCATGAATCTAGCTTAATCTAAAATTAAAAGTGAAAAGCTGCTCATTGCTTATCAACCAAGCAAGGATGTTTAGCAAGCATGCTCTGTACGAGAAATAATGGATACTAAAATAAGGATAAATGTTGGTTATAAATTGAAAATGTTCAAGAGAGGGAAAACTTGCGACTGAGAAAATTTTATAGATTTGAAAATAAACTTCAAGGAATAAGATTAAATATAGAGCAATAAAGATGCTATTATTGAATTTAAGAATAAATAAAGAAAAAGATACGGTTAATATTTAAAGACACTGGGAGAGAATTCTTAATCTCTGAATAAACAATAAAAATAAAAGATGTAGACTCTTGAAAGTACTTACAAGAAATTGACATTTATTGGGTACGGTAAGAGGGAAAAATAGACAAAAATACGAGAAAATTATGAGTTGATGTGATTTTAACCAAGTATGTAGCTAATTATTACACTTCGACTAGTTTGGCAAAAAACTGGTTGTAAATAGAAGTGAAATAAATCTAGGTTTCAATATCCTCAAGCTCTTCACCATTCTCGTCAAACTCAGAGAAAGATTCATGTAAAATGTCCTGAATGTTTTTACTCGATAAAACATCATGAAGAACATTTTGTTTTTTAGCGCTGCTTTCTTCTGTCTTAGATTTGGGCCGGTTTTTTTGAGGAGTGCTTTGGCGAACTCTGTTTTCCTTCGTACATGAGGTTGACAGGGCAGCTACCACTGATCTGGTGTCGCAAGCTTCTGACAGAGTGTCCTCGGAAGTATCTTCTAATTGCAGTCGAAATTCTTCATCTTCCTTGGGTTTTGAATCTGACTCATGGCTAAACTTTTTTGCAGGGGAAATTTCAGCTGCAGAAGCAACTTTTCCGTGAGCTTTTGAATCAGCAGAAATCTTATCTGTTGAACAATTTTCATCGGAAGTCACTTCAACTCGTCTTTTTTTCAAAGAATTTTCGGCAGATTTGTTTTTAGTCCCTGAGACAGTTTCAAACTCTCCTGTAAATATCTGAGTCAATTTGACTTCCACATCTGACAGTGTTGAGTCTAAGTCTTTGCGTCTTTTTCTTTTCTTGGTCCGGTTACTTTGAGAGGTTTGACTACTATCGAAATCAGACTCTTTGTCGGACTCAGAGTCACTGCAGGTTGCGTTTTCCTTTCTATTGGATTTAATATCAGAATTTATGTACGATTTCCTTGGTTCTTTCCGTCCTTCTTTTGCTTTAACCTTTGAGGTGTCACAAGCATCAGAATCTTCCGCAGGTACTTCTGGTTTCTTTTTAAGTTTCTTGGTTCTAATATCTGCAATAGACATAGAGTCTGAATCACTATCTGTAGACATTGGACTGTTCTCTTTCTTAGATTTGACATCAGAGTCTGAATCAGTGTTTTTTGGTTTTTTCTTCCTGTGTTGCACTTTAGCTTTTGCAGTATTATGGGCACTAGGACTTACGACAAATGCCTCAGGTTTCTTGTTCAGCTTCTTTGACTTGATTTGTGCTAGTGACTGGGAGTCAGAATCAGAATCACTATCAACGGTTTCTGGTTTCTTTTTAAGTTTTCTGGACTTCAAATCTGCAGTAGACATAGAGTCTGAATAACTATAAATATTTTTCTCCTTCTTTGACTTGATTTCTGCGATAGACATAGAATCAGAATCAGAATCAGTGTCAATGGTTTCTGATTTCTTTTTGAGTTTCTTGAACTTATCTTTAATAGACACAGTGTTGGAAGCACTATCAATAGTTTCCAGCTTCTTTGCCTTAATTTTAGCAATGGACATAGAATCTGAATCACTATCACTGGTTTTTGGTTTCTTGGTACGCTTCTTCAACTTGATTTCTGCTTTGTGCATCATACCAGAATCACTATCAATAATTTCTTGTCTTTTCTTCAGCTTCTTAGTCTTTACTTCTGCAACAGACATGGAATCTGAACCGCTATCAATAGCTTTCAGCTTCTTAGACTTGATCTTGGCGATAGGCATAGAGTCTGAGTCACTATCAACAGATTCTGCCTTTTTTCCTAACTTCTTGGGCTTCATCTTGGCAATAGGCATGGAGTCTGAATCGCTACTCTCAGATTCTGAATAAGATTCAGTGCCATTTGGTTTTTTTACTTTATTCAACTGTTTGTTTGGGTTTGAAAGTACTTTTGAAACAGTTTTTGAACTTTGCCTTTTCACTTTACTTTTTTTCTGAGACTTCATCCGAGATTCTGATCCTGAATCAAAATCTGAGGCTGAGTCTTCAAGTTTCTCAGATGTATTTGACTTGATCTTTTTATTCAAGCAGGTTTCAGAATCTTTCGATTCCATTTTCTCACTTTCATCTGAATTTTTCTTTGTCTGCGATTTTGGAGCTAAGCATTCGAGTGGTTTGTTCCTTCCTTTGGTTTTCTTGGTAGACTTTAATTTTTTGTCCCCCTCTTGCGCTGATTCTATTTCCGTTTCGGTATCTCCTTTGATTGATACTTCCTCAGATTCAGCCTCTTCTTCCGACTGATTAGAATTGTTTCCTCCTACAAAAAGTCTACGTTTGACTTGGGTATCAGACTCAGAGTCAGAATCAATATAGATTGCTTTTCCTTGCTTCATGGATCCACTAGCTGCGGAAAGAAGGGTTTCTTCATCAGAAAATTCAGGAGAAACTTTTCTTTTCTTTTTGACAACCTTCTTTTGTCTCTTTTCAGTCAAAGAATTTAAACTTTCACTTGATATCACTGCACTGCTTTTCTTACGTTTAATGTTTAGATTAGAATCATTGGAAACACTATCTATACCTATCATTAACTTTTGTTCTGAGGCTGGGGGACTAGAAGAGTTGAGGCTCCTGTCCTCTGGCTCTGACAGATCCCAGAATGACCGTCTGGTTCGTAGAGAACGACCTGTGATGAAACAGAAATTATTCAAGAGATTAAAATCAAAGTATGGCATGACAGGGACTACCTCATGCTAAAAATCCCAATCTGATTTTTACTTATGTTAACTAAAGTATTCTTTAGCATGGTTTTTTTGCCCGGTAAGGTACTGGATGCTTCTCTAGCTTTCTCTCTGAAGATGAACTTAAGTAATGGATCATAAGACAGCCTACAAAATGAAGCACAACAGTAAATGTACACTAAGTACCGTGCTAAGAAAGAACGCCCTATGAGCCTTCAGACGTTGCCAAGTTTCCTCTGATAAAAACCAAACTTACTGGTAAAATTGCGAAGATTATTTTCCAAAGTTTTCAGACAATTTTGTACACAATTTTATCTAATATATCTGATAATTTCAAGAAAAATTATGCATGAATGTTGTCAAAAATATATGTTTTATAGAGGGAAATTTGACAACTCTCGAATGATCATACGGCGTTTTTCCTGGGCACGGCAGTACACTCATTGAAACTTTCTTAGAATACAATTGACACATTGACTTATACTAGATTCAACTCATAGGAAGAAAATAAGTGTTCTTGTCAACGTTAATGCACGCTTCTCACTGACTTAAAAACCAGAGTCTACTTGAGTCAAATCCAGCATTGAACTAATTTCCGTTTAATTTACGATGGTAAGATTTTCCTGTGTAATAACTTTTTTTGACAAGATTAAAGGTATGTGTCTTCATCAGAAATGGAAGAAAATGTGTAGGAAACCAAGCTTTAGGTATTTGCCAGGTATTCAATGCCTAATGTGGCCTACATTCACTGTGTTTTTTTTGCACAAGAGGAATTCGAATTTACAGTTTATCATGTAAACCACGGAATTCCTCACTTACAAGGTTGATTTTGAAAGTTTTTGATGTGTTCAATGTGTTTTGCATCAAATTTTGAAGATAAAACAAGAACTGCAGTGCTTAGCTCATTACACGCTGTACTGTTGTGTTCAGGGGAAATGCCGTATAAGCCTTCAGGCATTGCTTAATTTCCTCCAATAAAATGTTAATTTTCAGGGAAAGTGGTGAAGAGTTTGCTTCAATTTTTTGGAGAAATTTAAACAAAATCAGACCGGAGCTATCTGAAAATTTTAAGAGGAAATATTCATGAACCTCCTTAAAAATGAACATCGTATCGGAGGAAATTTGACAACTCTCAAAAATTCATACGGCACATTTTCATGATATCAGAGTAGTCGACACCCGTAAAATTCTGAGAATTCTGCGTTTTGGTTTTTTGTTATTAATTCGGTCAGATACATTGATACCAGTCTCATTCGAGAGAATTCTCCGTTTCATCAAATTCTAACAGAAATTTGAGTTTAGATACAGTCTGAGAAATCCTTTAACTCAAAGCTAAATGTTCTGAGGATTGAAAAACTGGCCATCCATGGTCACAACGAGTCCTGAATTTTACATTCAAAATTTTCATCATTTCTTGAACTCAAATGACAGGAGTAGCACTACCATTCTAGCGGAGCATTCTGATTTTTCCCCATTGAAAGCATCGTATAGAAGTCAAATTTTTCCTAGAAAATGATAACACAGCGCAAGGCCTCACACTAGTAAACTTTCTCTTCAAGAGGAAAGACATCAAAAATAAGGCCTGCATCCCGTAACTAACAGAATGGTGCTGGGTCCATAATGTTTTTAGGAGAAATCAAACCTAGCAAGAACAAAACTTAGGATGAAAAAAAAGAATTAAAGAAAAAATTGTTTAAAAATGGGTAAGCTGAAAACTTTTTGCAACTCAGGTTAACTTTTTTTTAAACAGCCTTACGAAATTCGAATTAAACTTTTAAATACTAACTCGTCACTTTAAAATCTTCTAAAAAGTTGTTCATTTAATTTTGATCATGTGTCTCGATTATCATACAAATATGTAGTATCAAATGAAACACTGTGCTTACCCTTTGATATGATGACATTGCAGTTTAATGCTGCAACTTCATCAGCAAGTTTTTTTTTCTTTATTGCTTTTATCACCTTTTTATTATTCCATCTTCCTGAAACATAAAAAATTGCATTTGATGTTATTTTTCAAAAATTCACTAGGGTGCATAAGAAAAAAATAAAAATAAGTTGGAGATGCCACTGAGCTCTGGTAACGATCAGTTCCACTGAGTGAAAACAAGTATTTTCACTTCAGAGTAAAATTTTAAGGGGCATTTTGGCTGGTAAACCTAATTTTTGATAGCCATCCACACTTTAAGGACCAAAATGATTTTTAAAATATGCACGCATATTGCATTATCATTGCTTCAGCAATGCGCAGAGGGTTTTGTTGACACTCCTAGTTTTTAAGAACAGAAGCCTGATTTGTAGGCGCATTGTGCAAGGCACCGAGCGCCCTGTGAAAATGGAACGTTAATGAAAAAAACATTTTTGCAAAAATTTGGAGGAATTTTATCTGTTTCTCGTGGTAATATCAACTTAGGCTGTTATGAGATCAATTCCCGTTTCACAAAAGTGCTTTCCTCCAAGTTCTATGACGATACGATCAAATGTATTAAGACTAGCTTTTAAGTCTGATCATCTTCATTGTTTTATATTTGTATATTGTATAATACCTGTTAAAAAAGAGAGAGAGAGAGAGAGATCAATTAAAGGCAAGAACTGATCAAAAGATTTTGAAGCGTAAGCTATTGTTTCAATGGGCCCCGAGACAAGATAAGAATTTAAGCAAAATGCTACGTGTTTACTCTTCAAAATTCCACAGAGAAAACGAATGACACAACAGGGTGTCTAAAATCAACCCTTCAACAAGATGTAAGTTTTTTCTATCAGCTTTGGCAAAAATAAAATGGCATTGGCAAAAAATACATACGGCAAAAATACAAATGACGTCATTTGTTTCGTCGCACTTCCATTTAATCTGCGTTCAAAAGACTTGATACTATCTGGCCCAAGAGTTGATTTCAAAACTTTCCTGGGTGTGAATTGTTTTCTCTGTAAGATTTTGAAGAAAAACCATGGTAGATTTCGCTTTTCTTAAGACCTTGTCTAGTGATCCATTTCATGAGTAATTCTTGTCATGAATATAAAATTTTAACACTCAAACACTCTAGAACTATCTAAAAGGCTGAGGTTTTATTTCTTCTTATCAGCATATAATTGAGGACAGAGGAAAAATGAAATTGCATGAATTTAACTGATGAGATGAAGAAAGATGAGACGACAAAAAGATTACATGAAAAAGTGAAAGGATACAAAGAAGGAAAGAGGAAACAAAAGCATCCTGAAGACTTCACAAAACCCCTTAAAGTAATTTACAATCATCATTTATCATAGTCATACACATACAAAATATGATAGAAAATTATAATTATAATTATTTTACCTGATAAATGAAGCAGACGATCACTGGATTTCTGTGAAGAGAGGAAACAAAGAATATTAGAGGAAACATAGCTCAGTATCGGAGCAGAAATCTGAGATTGCATCGAAATTTTTGTTGGCCTCTGCTGGAGAAAGATATTCAAACGCGAATACATCTCAGAAAATGAAATGATTTCGTAATTTAGGTTTGGCTGGATTTTCAAACCGATTGTGTTCATTGGAAGCATTGGCCAATCTCTTGCATGGTACATGTACATACAAGCTACTCCAAGGTGCTTGCGTACTTAAGTTGTTTTTGTCTCATTTCATATCAAATAAGTTATGGTATTTTTAAGGATTAGAAGTGATTTTTGAAATTTTAGATCCAATTTTTAATGAAGCCGATTTGAAAATGTGTATTTTGAAAGCATGTAGCTGAGTTGGAGAATTATTAAACCTAGAATTTTTTCCAAAAGAGAAAAAAAAACACTTCAAGCCATTTTTCGCAGGACAGGCAGTGTTCAGGTCAAAGAAGGATTTATTTTTTTTTAAAAAAAATGATATATTTTTGCTCTTGTGAATGTATAAAAGATTACTGATTGTTAGCTATTGCTATTCCTATCATACCAGACAGATTAATTATACCTCTATGTTGAAAAGTATCTGTTAAAGTTCATTCTGTATTTTTCAGTTTTTTCCCGAGGGAGAATTTGAATTTCATAAAATATAAATACTTTCACATTGCGACTGTTGGAGATTTGGTCTTGAAAGAATGATGAAAATTTTCAGAGAGTACAATAGACAAAGGTTACCGTCTCTCCACTTGGAGAGAGAGGGAAAAAAAAACTGCAGAATTTTCTGGATTTTTGACACGGACTTTGCTGATTTTGACAGAATAATACTGTGCATTTCTCGGTTTAATTTCTGGACAGAATCTATTTTGTGAGAAAAAACCCAGTCCTCTGCTCAGTTTCAAATATTTCCACAACGTTTCTTAGAAAAATGTGTGAGCCATGATATGAATTTCCCCAAAAATGTCCATTATCGTCTTCTCTTCTGTTTTACTTCTTTCAACTCACTTTTCTAAAGATGATAACAACATAAAAATTGCAAGTAACTCTAAAACAGAGCAACAGACTTAGAAACCAATTCAATTATGGAAGCCGAAACTGGTTAGGCTGAAGACCTTACCTCTTTTAAAACTTCGAATGATTGTAGAGATTTGGCTTGTTGGCAAGGCCAATTCCCCACAAACTTTAGCCAGCGTGGAATGAATAGCACTTTGGGTTTGACCGCGCAGCACTTCAATTTTGATGAATCCTACTTGGTCCTCTTCTGTAATTGGTACCTTTTTCACTTCAGTTATTTTTTCTTCCGGGGAACTTTTTTCTCTACGGGATTTTTTCCCGTTATCACTTGTGTCTTCCTCGTCAAGAGCTAGAAACATGTCATTTTATTTGTGAGACAGGATGAGAACATACTGCAGGGAACAAAAAAATTGAAGAGAAGTTTGCTATTCTAGATTGCATAGATTTTGACCCATAAATAATTATTGAAGTAGGTAATGAAGATTTTTGGTAAAAACTTATAATTTTAGTGCCTCTAGAAATTCATGGGAATCTCATCAAGAGGTTTTTGAAAAAAATGGGCAATGAACTTCTGAACTTCTATCTAATTTTTTGACAATTTTTTTGTGTCCCCTTCTGGTTTGCCTCAGAATAAAATTGAACAGAAAGACAATGTGCATGAGGAAGATAAGATGTGATGGTGCAGTTTTATGAGTCAGTTTTGCCAATTGTTCCATTTGCCTCATTCCTAAAAATTGACTGTTTGCAAGTTAAATCAAAAGTAAGAAAAACAATTTTTCGTCGCTCAACAGTTCTAAAAAAAGTGACCAAAAATGCCATTTGAACCACAAACCTATAGTTTGAGTCCAGAAATATAGAATGATTTCATCATAACACATCATGATTGGATTAGAGATTTTAGAAACACCCCACCTCCTTTATCTAAAAAGGTCTTTGCAACACTTGCTGATGAAAACCAAGATTGTCCTAATTTCTATTTTTTCCTGCTGAAAATAATCTCTTGATGTTTTCATAAAAGCGTTATACAAATTCTATACATTTGACATTGAATGGATAAAAAGTGTTTCAGAAAAGGGGATGGGTTTTCCTTCGAAGCTTTATTTAATCCCCCTTAAGGCTAGACTGACTCATTAAGATTATTAGTGAAAACATGAAACTCAGGCTTTTGCGTGCATACAACCTCATGCAATTTGCCATGCTCAGACATAAAAAAACATGAAGTAGCAACTACAGGAGAAAACAAACTGATGTGTTTCTGAATCGTAAGCTTAGCAGCTATTAAACTTTTCTAGCTACAGAGACATCAACTGGTGATGAATAGCAAATACGAAAAAACAAATTACGGAGAAGAATTATTATTTTGCAACAAGCTGGTGGTTATCATGCTCTGAGAAAGTGTATGATTACTACAGAGAAAGAAATGAAGTGCTCAGAAAATAATCTGGATTTCTACATAGTCAAAGTGGTTGTGTTGAAGAAAATTCTGTTAATGCAAAATATTTGCTGAGTAATTTTTCTTAGCATTGATAATGAAACAAGATGTTAACTATTGCGGTTCACTTTAGTTGAAAGAACTGAGTAGCCAAGGCTAACGTGAACTTTGGGGAAAATCTCCAATGCAGATGAATAACTGATTATTACGATATGAAACGTTTTGACTTGTAGTGCTGGTTGTGAGTATAATTTTTAGGTATAAACGTATAAATCATGTATAAGAACACCCACAGAGGACAGGTAACAAATTCTAGAAAACCTGATATAGAAGTTTAAGCTATCCAAAGCCTTCTCATTCTTTCATTTGAGTGATCCAGACCCACGATTGTGAAACAACTTTTAGACTAGTTTCCAAGTTAATTTCACATCATAGGAATTATTAATTGGAGCCGAAAACAAAAGAATTTCTGCAATCGTAATGGATCCATTTATTGTTAAGAACAAACTAAGAACACCAGTGCTTCACAAACTTTAGTTGATTCTCTCCTCCTTTTATTTTTGCTCCACTTAGCTACGATTGTAAGCTGAACGTTCAATCAATTTCCATAAATTTCAGGGGACAAAAACAACTCTACAGGAATGGATTTATGATGGAAAGAAACACATCCTGCTTTTGAAACGTTTCCTTTGAAACAAACAGATTAATTTCTGAGCAACAGCTTTCTCTAGTCCTGATAAGTCCACAATTTTGTTTCATAGCAGAGGGACATTGAATGATATGAATCATTAAATTTTTTTCATTTTAGAAATGAGAGTAACACCCATGTATTTCCAGAAATTGATGGGTTGTGTTGATTGTGAAACAAAAAAGGGGCTGTGAAAGATGCTCCTTCGAGGAGACATCCAAGAATCTCACCAGGAAATACAAAAAAAAAAAAAAAAAAAAAAAAAAAAAAAAAAAAAAAAAAAAAAAAAAAAAAAAAGGTGAGTTTTTCTACTTAATCTTAACCAGGGACCAGTTCTATAGGACCCTGGACTCCCGTAAGAGTCAATGTAAAAATTCGTGAGCAGGTACTAGTGCTGCTATCTCGCGTAGGATCCTCGCAACTCACTGCTGTTATCAGTTGTTGGACTTCATTAAAATCCGTAGGATCGCGTATAACTGCAAAAAATCGAATTTTTCACCGTACTACTACATGCAGCGAGCCCTTCCTTGTCGATAGGGGTCGAAAAACGCCAAAAATATACTTATTTTTCAAGAATTCAGCCGCCGTATGTGTTATTTTTCAATCTCCGGCTTAACCTCACTTTTGGAGCGGGCGATGGATGAGTCGAGGTTCGGGGGGAAGGATCCTCTGAGTTGACTAGGATCCTACGCGAGAATATGCTGCAATCACCCGCTCACAACAGAACGGCGTCCTATAGAACTCGTCCCTGTCTTAACACACAAACTTAGGATTCAAAATCTTACCTTCAACTTTCACTCCATGCTCTATCAGAAATTTTTTCAGTTTGTTGATTTTCATCTGTCTTGTGGGGCAGTCTTGCCAAAAATTTTTGTAGTTCTGGATTCTGTGACCAGACATCGAAACGTAACCCTTCAGTTTCTCTATGAGCTTGTCGTTCTTGTCTAAGGGTAATTCAACCTGAAAACACCAGAAAAACAGCGTTTAGTAAAAATCTAAAGGTACAAGAGGGCACAGGAAATAATAAGGGATTGCTTTCTCTTTTTTTAAACATCATTAGATCAGTTTGTAAGTTTGAAAACGTGATCAAACTTGCTTTATGGACAAGGAAAATCACTCCAAAATTAGTTCTAATTTAGTAAATGCCTACCTCTTGCAATTTAAAAAAATCGTGTGCTCAACTTGACACCAAATATTTTAAAATCATGTGACACATCCATTTCGACACATTACATGCTTTATGGTATTAAAAATATTTGACCCTGATTCCCATTCAGTGCGCACACAACACTTAACAAAATCGATTTATGAGAAAATCGCAGCGTTTATGGCATAGAGCAGTTTTTTCTTGCTGGCATGAATATACATCAGTCTATTGGAAAAAATGTAGACAGAAAATAGGCATGAACATATTTCAAAGTTTCAAAAGCGTAACATATTGATGTAAACAATCAAATAAAAAAAGGACTGCACGAAAACTTGAAATCTAAAAAATCTTGATAAGTCACATGTACCAGTTTCAATATACTCCTAATGTGTTTTGGATGTTGGAGCATTCATCTTTTCTTTGCTTTTATTATTATTATTATTTTTTTTTATTAGAAATTGGTACATTAGCCTGAAAGATAAAATGGCTTGATACAAGTCAAATTAAAAAAAATTACCCCCCCCCCCCAAAAAAAAAAAAAAAAAAAATTACAAATTTAAAAACTCTTGTACTATGCATTTTGTAAGAATTTTTCTTGTTTTCATGTGATGGTCATTTTCACTTCTCTCCTTACTTAAATATCCCATTTTTACCGCTTCCTTGTTTGTGATAAAAAATTCCCGAGAGGGAACTGTCATGACTCGGAGTTCAGAAAACAGCCTTCTACAAGACTCGAGTCTACCTTTTTTTGAGATTTTTCGCAACACTTTTTTTTTGGGGCTGATAGGATATCACTCACATCTGAGGCATGTCTCCACAGATTGAGGGTTGAGGAACATCTTGAGAGATGTCCTTGCAAGACATTCAGATAAAATTGAAATTTGTATGCGTCAATTAGTAAGATTATGTTTGAGCCTTCAGAAATAAGAAGATCTGTCGTACAATGAGCACTAAGTTTCTACCTCCTATATTTAAGGTGCAACTCCTTTGAAAAAATGGTGAATGATTTACATAACTACACTTCTACCTCAAATTCAAGGATGCAAATAGTTAAAGGCCATTGCGATTTTCGAAGAGGCCTTCACAATTTTCTGGAATGCACTGAGTTTTTGCAAAGTTTACTACAAACTGAGTAAGATTTTTTAAGTCTATTTGATTTGAAATTTTCATTCAGATATTTGGACGAACTGTCAAATCGTATTGTTTGCAGGAGCCAAAAAAAGAAAAAACTTATCAGTGTCCAAAATTTGGTCTTGACCCGTGGGTTGTACAGTTGAGAACTATTTGCATCTCTACTCAAATTAGAAGAAAAACAAAAGGTAAAATTTCAATACAGATGAACTAACCTCTTTCGACGTGGACTTGCTCTTTTTGGACTTAGTCGCTTTAATGGTGGCGCTAGGCTTTGGTGGAGAGATTGAACCGTTTCTTTTAGCAGTTTCATTGAACGAAGCACTTGTGCCTTCAACTTTTGGACCCAGTTGAACGACAGGTGAGACTTCAAGGGCTTCTTCTGGAGACAAAAATTGTATCGGACTACTACTTTCCCGAGTGCGACCATTAGACAATCTGCTCGACTTTTTGACTGGTGAATGGGTGGTGTCATCTGTTTCACTGCCACTGGTCCTTTTCCTCTTTTCATTTCTGCTCTTAAGCATAGAGCTTGTTTTAGAACTAGACACAGATTCTCTGTCACTGCCAGCCAATGCCCGTTTCTTCTTTCTCGACAATGGCACATCTGAGTCAGAGCTAACCTTATCCGACTCGGAGGTTATTTCCTTTCTCGGTCTGCCCCTCTTGGCAGGACTATCTGATTCTCTAGAGCTTTTCTTGGGGCTATCCTCATACTCCAGCTTTTCAGGTTTTTTCCGCACCCGCTGAGAGATTTTCTGCGGTGACTGCTCACTGCTCTCTTCCCCAGACTCATCTGCACTGGCGAGCTTAACTGGTTTTTTCCGGGCTCTTGGCGAAACTTTTCGCGGTGATTCTATGCTGCTTTCATCTCCTGACTTCTGAACATTTCCTTTCTTACTTTTAGAAGCGACTCTCTTTGGTGAGGTTGATTCAGATTTAGAATCATCATCTGTTTGTTCGCGGTCAGACTCACCTGGCTTTTTTCGGGCTCTTGGTGAAACTTTCTGGGGTGATTCTTCATTGCTTTCATCTGCAGACTTGTCTGCCTTTGGTTTTTTGCTTCTTGGAGATTTTTTGAGTGAGGGTTCATTCGCCACTTCAGTCTCTAACTCTCCTATGGGCTCTTTTAGCATAGAATCTTCTAGAAGATTGCTCTTTCCTTCTTCTGCCTTTTCCTCTGAGTGTACCTCCTGTTCAGACTCTAGAGCTTTATCAGTTCCATTATCGTTCTGTACAGTATCTTCTTCTGGGATATTCTCCTCATAACCCTCAACGACAGCTTCCTCAGAGGTTCCAGCTTCTTCAGGGGCTTCAGCTGCCTCAGAGGCTAATGCTTCACTGGAGAATTTGCCTGTCTCTTCTGGTTCAACACCATAGTCTTCATCGGAAAGAATATCTTCAAGACCGTCAGTTCCATTAGGGAGGGGAATCGAAGAAATGACATCATCGACAACAGGATCTGCAACAGCATTAGTGCCATCTGCCAAGGATTCCATTGCTTCTTGGAGTTCCTTCTCTACTATTGAATCACTATTAAATAAGTCCTCGTTTACTGGGTCAAGTTGCTTGGCCACAAGCTCACTATCGCCATGAAAATCAATTGAAAAATCCATTGCTGATCTAATTTGATAAATGCAAGAGAAGGACTTGTTTCATTTGATCATTCACCGCTACCACAAAGAGAAAAAGACGCTTGTAATAACATACCAACAGTATGTCGAACCTGAAACAAAGATTAAAAATTCACTCAAATTTCATGTGATGAGCACCTGAAGTGAAAAAAATTTACTTCTCTACATCAAAATTATCAGGATAAAACTGATAAAGAGACTGCAATCTTAACAGTTATTCATTGATTTATAATATGATGTAATCACTGTAAAGCTATTCATTGTTATCACAATGTTGAAAAACAAAAATACACCATTGATCAAGATAAAGAATGCATCATAAATTATATTCTGTATGGCAATTTTGACAGTTTTCTCACATCTACAGAAAATTAAACCTTTGATGTTGATCTTTTTCTTCAATTTTCATCGGGATATCCTGAATCTGGGAAAATAAATAAAAAAAAGTTTTAGAGTATGTGCAACTAAAATTTTGCTTGGAGTTTTTTCAGAGTTACTCTCCGTACTCGCTTTGTCCTTTGCCAGAGAAACAATTCAAATGCAATTAGTTTCCCTCGGCGAATAGGTGCTTTTACCGATTAGCCGGAAATGTAGGTTCCTACATGCATGTAGTCCATTCTAGACGTTGCCAGATTTACATTGAAAAAGTTCGAATTTTGTGGATAATGTATGAAATCTTCACAGAATTTCACTTGTATTTTCACTTACTGATTTTGAAAATTTCGGAGAAAAATATTCAAAACTCTTTTCTAAAATAAATACCTTCTTTGTCAACCGCACATTGATGCGCTGTTTTTCCTTGGCACAGTAGTATAGTGCGAGAGTTAAAGGGAGCCACAAATAATGAATGCTACAATAAAATGTCCAAAGACAATGCTGCAGGTTTAATGAAGATAATGGATATTTGCTCAATGCATCTGCACTTTATTGGCAATAAAAAATCCTAGATCATTGGCTTAATTCAGCTTACTTACAGCCTTATGCTAAATAAACTATCTTTTGGACTTGGGTTACAAGCTTTGCTACACGTGACACATATGCTATTACATACTACTCATAGCATAATCATAGATCTAAATTAAACAAGATGACAATGATGCTGAGTCTTATCAGTTAAAAATAATACCTACCATGGTTCTATTAACTAATCATCTTATCTCCTGAATGGATGACTCATAAAATTTTGTAAGTGATTACGTTCCCTCTTTCTCTGTAAATGGACTGTCTAACAAGTGTCTTCTACTGAAAATTAAATGGGCACATCTGATGGCCAGATTTTTGTTGTGCAAGCCGTACCACATTAGTTAAAAAAAAAGAAAAAAAAAGAGAAAAAAACGAGAGAAAAATAAAAAGAGAGAAAAGAGAAAAACTAGGGAAAAAAAGTTGTCAGCATTTTGATCTTCTGTAAAATATGTATAATTACACATATATTTTTCATTTCGATTGCAAGCTAAATCTGAGCCCGTTGCAGTAAAGGAAAAATTCACAACTGATAAAAAAATTGCTTGGAAATTTCTTGTCTACCTGAGGGCCATGATGACAAGGGTAGGGCCGCCAGGTAAAGACTAAGGGGACACAATGCGAACAATATCCCAGTAAGCTTGGCGCAGACCCAACAGCTCCTCGCCAGAATCCGAGATTGCAATTCTTGGTTCGCCCTAAAGTGCTCGAAGTTTTACTCTGTCTAATTCATTCATCTAGACTATAAACATGGTTACTATTTAACCAGGTTAACATGAGACACTAATTTTGACCTAGTAAAAGGGATAAAGTGAAAACCAGTCTGATGACAACCATGCACAGGGACGAGTTATCTTAATAGAGTTCAGATGTCAGTTCTGGATGAATCATTCTAAACTTAGTACTTGGACTCATTGCAACCCAGAGATTTCTAAAATGATTCCACTTGCTTATGTAAACCCTGGAGATCCTGGGCCCGTCATGAGTGGTAAGAATCCGACTTAACCTAACCTCAATTTTTGTTTTCGCTATGTCTAACTCATTCGCCAAATTTGAAAAAATTCACACCTTACTGAAAGGGTTGGATTTGGTACTGCCTGGTGCTCGCAGTTGAAGCCGCGTGTACCTGAAACAGGTCCCTTTAACATAGATGAGCGCTTACACAAGCGACATGTCAAATCTACCTCCATGTAATCATTAATTCTATTGTTTGAGTAACTTGAGTCATCAAAAGTTTAAAAAATTCCAGGAATAGGTGACGAATAATCTGTAAGGCAATCTACGGGTGGTTCAGACATGATGTTCTCCCTGTGCTTGCAAGGTGGAGGAAGAGTCTAGAAAGAACATGAGGCAGAGGGAATGCTTGCTGTTACAAAAATAGCTAAATGATTAGCTTAAATAGCGTGTACCCCGTGTGTCCAGCCAATGATGTTGACTTAGACCACGATTTTCGACTGATCGGAGGAAAAGTCTGGATACTTGTTTTTCATACCTGAAACAAATGGATTCAAGACCGGGCTTGCAGAGATGACAGGCGGGACTAATACGGAACTTGTTGTCACGAGCTGAACTACGAATAACGTCAACAGGCGAAACTAGAATGATAAACTCGGCAAAAGACGTACAGAGTAATTCACGAAGTTCAATGAATGGACATAGTTGAATGTTAAAAACAATTAAACAAAGCTGAAAACGTATGGATACCGCGACGCAGGAGCTTTCGGTCAAAAATCTTCGAACATAAATTCGGTGAAATTCTGTCATCAAGCTTTTGACAGTTGTGTTGCGTCAGATAAGAATCAGTCGTTCATCGATTAGTCGAGATGGCTGTAATCGTACAAAATGATTTACATGAAATTTAAATTGGTAACTCAACGTTGAAGCCCGTTGAGGTCACCGTTTGATAATCGCTGATTTTAATTCCAGCTTAGGAGGTTAGAATCTCTACATAAACAAATATGGTTTCCATGCATTTCCCGCATTTCCGGCCACCACTTCCCCACGCTTTTCTTCAGTCCACTCGAATCCAGCCGGTCTTTGTGCGTTCTGTCATCTTTGTGATTTTTCCTGAGTTTATAATCATTGCCTTATTTTAATCTCATTTTAAAATACTAATTATTTTCTCCCTGGCTCAGGTTGTCAATTTCATCCTCTTCGTAAAATCCCTGAAGATTCGACTGTCCCTGGATTAGTGAGTCGCCTTCTCCAATTTTCAAACCATCGATATTGCTTTGCAGCTAATCTTATTAAGTACAGCAACTCAACACTCTGTGTTCCCATTCACAAAGAGAATGAGGCACAATGACTGAAGGATTTAAAGACTACTCCGCAACATACGATGAGTTTTTCTGTGGCATCCTATCTTCGGAGGGAGACATAACGTCATTTCTCAATGCTGTGTTTGGATTTTTGTACCGCAGGTTGGTGTAATGAATTTAATACTCTGTTACCAAGTAATACTCCCTCAAGCTTATTCATACTTCCTCTCACTACTCCAATGATGGTTCTGGGAACCCTAGAGGAGCATAGCAAAGCGGCTGTTTTGGAGTTACTCGATTAAATGGGCATGGGAATGTCAGTTAATTATTGAAATCATGGGTTTGTTTGCCGGGGAAGACAAGACTAAGGTGGAATAAAGCTATGAAAACAGGCAGCTACGTTGGTCAGACAAGCATCAACCTCTTCATGAGTTCCTTTTTGAGCTAAAAGTAACTCATTGCCTCACTTAAAGTTGCTTTTAGCAAGTAGATGATACGGCCTGGAAAAAGGCTTGTAATCAGGTTACCAGTGCCTGATGAACACCCTTTTCTCTTTGTAGGTACTATCAATTACATTTTAAGGTGGACTTGGGTGAAACCATAATTTCTTACGATGATTGCTGTGGTTCGGTTTCAGGACTGATTTCTTCACAGTTCAGGAAGACTGCAGCAGTGCAATTGGATTTCCCCCTGGTGTAGCAGAACAGGTACTAGTGAGCGCTTTCAGAAAATGGCAGTTGAAAGGGCTGAAACCGAAAGGAATTGAAGAATCGCCAGAAAAAAGGAATGCGAAGAAAACAGATCCTGTCTTTGATTCTCCTTGGTAAATTTACTTGCCTTATCTGATCAGTCAGTGGATCCCATATTGGTCTAATTGATGTGCAATGCACTGTATCAATGAGGTCGAAAATTTGGTAAAATTATGAGGTGCAGGCCAAATACAATGGCTAGTAGGGTATTGCTGGTAGCAAGAAATTTTCACAGGGTTAGTTTTAGTTTGTTTTTTTGTAGAATTTTGTAAAAAAATTTAAAAGTTCGAAAAAGCGCTTCCAAGGAGAGAAAGAGCTATTCAAAATCCGATCAATCAAAGCCGACTGTTGAGTTGGCGTAGCAAGGCAAAGCCTGAAGCTGAGTTCAGCCAATGAGCAAGTACTTTGTTTCTCCTGCCGAGCTTAGAGTGAGTTCTAGAATTAATCTTTTCGTGAAGCGATTCAATCCAAATCCATCCAAGTGTTCCTAGGTTCTGTGATTCCATCCAGGTTGATGAATCCAAGCGTTCTTGTAACTCTGAGTGAGTGACTCATAACGTCATTACTTGTTCATCCAAATGCATTCGATCAACCCACCTCGGGAGATGGATTTAGCTGTGACTCTCGATGACTAACCTCAAAAAATTTGAATCCTTCCAAAGTAGCCAGTAACTTGTCCCCTGTGGAAAGTTTTTATCATCTTTTTTTCATCTAAATTAATAATACTTAAGTAACCTGTCAAGTTTTAGTTTTATTTTTCATTAGTTACGATCTAAATACTACAACGTTACTTTGATCATCATCAAGAAAACAACTGCATTCATCCAAGCGTTCTCTGAGATTCTCGTTTGACGATCCATCCGACTCCATCCGTGTCGTCATGACCCACATCATTTCCGTTCATCTCCAGTTTTTGGATTAAATCCTAAGACGAATTCTAAAACTCATCCATCATTATCAGAGTTCACTAAAAATATAGTTTCTAACCGCTCCCATTTGTGGCATTTTAAAAACAGGGTTTTTTGCCATTTAGACTTAAAAAAATAGAGGCGCAGTTTTCTGCATACTTTCAAAAAATTAATTTTAAAAAATAGGTGCCACCAATCCATGATTGCTTATTCGAATGTGTAGCAATGCAGCTTAGTGGCACATCTGGCCCCTATATCCTTCAGATCCACCTCAAAATAATCTCTTTGGTTGTGGTTTTTTGCCCTCTCCCTTATCAAGTTTTTTGTTCCAATAATATATATTTGCTTGATTGTCTCTTTTATTTATTGATTACAGTCAGGAAAGAACAAAGGTGCCTGTTCCAAGTAGCTCACCTGCAACATCGAAAAATACTAAAAATAGCGAAGAAAGCTTGAAAAATACCTCAGATAAGGATAGAAATTCACAAATTACTAGAAATGGCGATTGCGATAGGACAGCAGCAGAACAGTGCTCAGGTTCTCTAAAAAGGTACGTATTTCTTTGGGCCTTTAGCAAAAGACTTTTCTTTATGATTTTGTAAGAATAACTGCCTCTTAAATGAGAGGCTCTGTCATTCCTTCTACTGCAATAATGAAGTGATTACTGATTCTTTATGCTGAAAAGTGTGGAGAAATTTACATAGTTGATACCTGCAGTTATATTCAAGTTTTAAGCTTGTAATATGACTACTTTTAGTTAAATCAAGTTTTCTCAAATTGGAATTCTGCCAAAAAATCAGTATTCTGCAAGAGAAGACATGCAGGGAAATATTCGTAGTTGAATATCACTTCAAACTTCCAGAAAAGATTAATAGATTCGAATAATTGAAAAAACTGGGCACAGAAAGGGCATTTCTTGGTTGCAATGTCTCAAAATCCCTGTTAATGTTTCATTCATTACGAACAAAGGAAATTTATATAATTCTTTGAACCTTTTATTGAATATTCTTTATGATCTTACAATGCCATAAATGGAGATTTTCAGAAAATTTACTCAAGAATTTTCTCTCTAAAATATAAATTAGAAAAATAAATTTTTCTAGAGCCTCAAGAAGTGTGACTTTTGTCCTCTTTATCCACATCAATGATCCAGTTTTATGGAATAAGACTTTTTCACTCCAAGAAAAAGTTTTTCAAGTAGTAATTTAAAGACAATGGCCTTTGGGTGACAGGAAGTGCATGGGTAATCTAGCTGCAAGGGTGTTTCCCTGAACAGTTAGTAAGAAATTAAGTAAGTACTACCAAAAAAATGTTACAACTCATGAAAATCATTGAATTATCCTTAAAAATTAAATTATTTGTTAAATTATCATTTCCTGAAGCAAACTACGGAACCTTCTGTCCCTCACAAAATTTACTTCTTTTCTCTTGCTTATCTTGAGACTTGAGTTTGGAGGATTCAATATTTTTCGTGAACTATTATTTTATATTATTCATAGTAATAATTACCATCAGTTAAGTTTTTCAAATTAAAATGAGACTGTCGTGGGTGTCCAGCTCTCTCCAATTTCGTTCCATCTGTGCAAACCTCTCCAAAACAAGAATTCATCCAAAGCTCAGCTTTTTAGTGTATTTTCCGAAGGAAATACACTATTGCATTCTCCCCTGATGTTAGACCTGGACCGAAGACCATGTAATGAGCATTGATCATGGGTCGTAGATTACGAATATGCATGCCGTTTGAATTCATGTTTATTATTTATATATTTATGCATCTGTTTATACAATCAAAAACACAGGAAAATGCGGAAACAAGGCTAAAGGTCGTTTCCGTTTTGGGCTGCTTTTACAAGTCTCTTTGTTTTCCTCTGTTTATATATTTATGTATCTTTTTATTTTTTACTCTTATTTCATAGACTGGACAAAGCAGGGGAAACATACAATGGAGCTTATTGTGGAAAGTACTGGTGGATGCAATCCATGACTGACCTTGATGTTTGTGTAAGTTTCTTTTATTTTTTTGGTTTTATATTCGTCAATAATTCCATTATTTGAATAATAATATCAAGAAAAACTGTCGGTTAGTTCAATGGAATTGAACTGCTATCTTTTATAAACTATCAGTTGACTCCAACTCTCATTTTGACCTTGATGCATTGGTCACAGTGTGCAAAGGTTTAAATCAAAGTTGATACAGTTTATGCAAGTGGTCATATAGTAACAGAAGTGGCAGACAAGTAAGCCCACGTTATCAGTGAGATTGAGAATAAACAGTGTAAATGAATTTGTGGCCTCAAAATAACTATTGTCGAAGTCTTATATGTAGTTACACATTGATAGTATTCAAAAATACATATCTTAGTTGCAGTGTTTCCAAATATCTATTCCTATTTCATTTTTTCAAAGAGATAGAACCATCATCATGACTTGAAATTTTCACAGAATGTTATTTACTTAAATAAGGAAAATCACTATAATGTTCAAGAATGACATCTAGTAGTTTTTCATGGAGAAAACAATGTATGACAAGAAGTCTGCAACGTCAAGATATGCATTTTTGAAGTTTCTCTATCGAAGTAGAGTCGCAATTAAAAAAAATATGCCAACCTTTCATTGTCTTATAACAGACTTTTGAGTTCCAAGCTGTTGCACAATCAGTTTAAAGAAGTTGTTTTATAGTATTCAAAAACCAGCAACATATCAATGACAGGTGTTATTTATTCCAGTGGAACTCTTGATCATCGTCAAAATTCAGCTATGAGAAAAATAACTATCGCTAATTAGCTAATTGTCTTGAGTGGAGGGTTGGAACGGTGAAAATGGCAGCTATTGCCCGTTTTCACAGCACTCTTTGGCCTCCTCAGCTGTATCAACTTTTTTTTTAAAAAAAAAAAAGTCCAATCAATTTTAAGTCAAGATCACAATCTGCAATCAAAATGAAAGCTTGTCCCCTCAGATTCATCTTCAATCAGCCTGATTTGCCTGATTTTTTGCCTTCAGGTTCCAGTCCCTCCTCATGTGAGGAAAGGTAATCAGATCAAAGTTGCAGTCAACCACTCGGAGTTTCTAATCAAAATTAAGAATGAGTCTGCACCTGAATCTTGGACCACCATCATTGATGACAAGTTAGCAAATTTTTGCAACAAAGGCGATACTGTTTGGTCACTCGATTCAACTCGGCACTTAATACAGGTGAGGACTTCCTTTCAAACTGACAGAGCGTGAAATAAAAAGCATTGGAGGACATAAGCGAGGTGTGTATTTGAGATAGATGGCTGGGGCTAGACTCCCCTGCCTAACATGCTACCAACTTAGGAATAACAGATATAACACGAACCTTTAAAGAATTGACAGTAATTGCTAATCCAATCTGATGTGGCTGAGCAATTGACACTAGGGAATATGGTTTCCTCCAAATCCAATATTTTCTGTAAATTTTTCTGAATTCACTTCCAGTCGACATAGTTAATTCAAAAGTCACTGGATTTCGATTATATTTCTTCGGATTTGGATGTGGTCAATCTGACATCCGGTGCACCATAGCAAAGTTTTGCTAAGGAATACAGGGCAAACTTAATTGCACCAAAATATGGTGAAAATGGACCATTGAATAAAGTAAGATTTAGACTTTCAAATGACATGTTTCCTTTTCAAAATTTCAATCAAAAGATGTGGAACATATTGGAAACTTCCAAAGTTAACTCATAAGTATGAGGAATTAGCGATTGTAATCTACTGAAGAATCAATTAGTATTAACTTCCCACCCATGATCATAGAAAATCAATGTGTTTCAAATAAAGCATTGAAAACAATGTTATCTGATCAACAAATGATCAGTGTTTCGTTTAACATCATCGTTATCAATTTTTAAATTGCAGAACTCCTAAATTGCTCAAAAGAAATTCGACAAATAATAAAATTCATACGACTCAAAAAATATTAAAATTACTTTTTTAATTAATGTGACCATAGTAAACTTAAATTTTTTTATGCACTGGTAAATTGATCCAAGCAGGTGCAGAGAGACCGTTATTTTCTTACTTACAACATGACTTTAGTATTTTTCATAGTGTCGATCGTATTTTTATAAAATTTTGACTAAGCAGCATTTTACGGTGCCTTTTTTTTGTATCATGCCTATTAGTCCATTTCTGTGCATGAGTGTGTATCCAAAAAAAAATTAGCATTGGTCACCGTCTGCTGGAAAGTGGACTTTATTTCATGGGGAAAGTAATCATAACAAACAGAGACAAACTTTCCCGTCGAGCCTTTTTGTCCAATTGAGTTGAAAAATCACTTGGTGAGTTTTTAATGGATTTTCAGGATTGATTTGTCGGTTTTATTTTTGGTGACAGCTTCATTTAGAAAAATCTCGGGATGCATGGTGGGACCAACTCCTCATATCAGAGTCCAAAATCAACATGAAGGAAATCGAAGCAACCAGGCCTTTCTCTGAGCTTTCGGAAGAGGAACAAATAACTGTATCAAATTTGATGCAGAAAGAAAAACTCAAGCAAGAAGCCAGAGAGCGAGGTGACTTTTCAGCCTCAGAAATAGAGGTGGGTAATGAAGTTCGTAAATTGGGGAGCACTAATTGAATCAGTCACTTGTTCAGTTTGTTTAAACTTCGTAATTTTTAACGTCAAAATTTATTGACTTGCCTTCCACATCATCATGTTTTTAGGTAGAGATTTTCAACTATTTTTTAAATCATTTTTACGGGAAGGAAGATAAAACCGAGGTCAATCAAACAGCCGAGAAGTCAAAATTAATACCTATAAGAAATAAATCACTTACTAACCCAGAGAAGAAAATAGGTTTGTATTGTTTTTGGAGCCAACCTTTGAAAAGTTTAATCTTGAAAATATGTGAATTTTTCTTGGAACTTTCTTTCGTGAAATCTCTCTCTGTTCAGCGAGTACCCACAGAAAAAATTACATTATTTTCTAATTCAGAAGATGATTTGCAAAACCACAGCGAAACTGCAAAAATGCAAAACTTAGTTGCGATGTTTAAGAATCTCCCCTCTTATTTTTTTTTGAAAAGAAGACTAAACCAACACCATGAATTGAATTCTTCACAGAATATTCTCGATATAGAGAAGAAAAATCACAGAAGTTTATAAGAAAAGACATTTTGTAGTTTTCCACAAGAAAGTGAAGTAGGTATGACAGGAAATCTGCAAATATGCAAACCGAGGTATGCATTCTTGCATCACTATCAAAAAGCTATAATACTTGAGCATTAGAAACTGTAGAATAGAAGATTTCTAGGAAGCCCAAGCCAGGTGTCAATGAGTTTTGTAGACTTGATTACTCTGTAATGATTTATTTATTTATTTACATCGGATTCTTTCAAAATATCCTAGAGATGCGCAGTTATCAAGAGATTATCCGTCCAAAATTGAAGACTAATTCTTTTGAGGTTTAAATTAAAGTACAAAAGAGGATCGAGTAGAAAATTTCAATATTTTGCTGAAGCTCTTTCTTTTCAACTTTTCAGCTCCGTGATGTAATGCAGCAAGTCGGTGTTAGCAGGAATGCGCCCTTCAATCTCCCCTCACCACCCCTGCAGCGTTAGAATATTGTTCTCATGTTGATCTTGTTGATGGTATGTACAACATGACAATTTTCTCTCTAACTCCAATCGTTTCTAACATCCATCAGATGGGCAGAACCTCACAATATTTATGTTTCTATCAACAGAAATTAATTCCCTCAAATTGGTTTTGGTCTTCTCTTTATGTGCCTTTTGGACTCTGATCATCAGTACAGGACACATTCTGTGATTTCAAAACCAAATTATTTATTGTTTAAACAAAAGTATTTTTACTTTTAGCAACTTAAATTTTTAAACTTTGCGCTGACAAGGTTCAAATGGTTGTTCAAAATCACTCCTCCGTTTGTGTACCCTCAGTTTTTTACTATATATTTGTATCAGCTCCAATGTATATCCAACTTACAACACATCACTCAAAATTAAAAAACAATGCATTTCTCAAGCTTTTTACTAGATGAAAATTTGTGATCTCTCATTTTACTTGATAATTTGACGAAAAAAGAATTATTTTTTACTTGTAATAAATATTTTTGTTGTAAAATTTGGCTTTATTCAATTATTTATGTCAATGGAAGTCCCCTGTGGAGGAATTGATTGAGAAGTTTAATCGTAACTGATTATGCAAACTGTCAGAATGAGCAAGCAAAATAAACTTAACCTAGTTCCTGTAAAGTTATTGCAGTTGTATTGTTTTGTAGCAAAGCAATTTGGACTCGTTATAAATTTTGTATTTTCTCCTCAACAGACCAAAAAAAATTATTCATTTGCTAATTGAAAGAATAACCAAACTTGCGGCCAGTTTGTAATTCGTACTCTTAATTTCCGATGTAATTGAAGTTTTAGAACTTGTACTACTAGTTATTCATTATTGCAGAAAAAGTTCCCCTCGTTCAATTATATATTCACTGATTTTTTATCAAGATTCGTTCCAGAAAAATCATCCATTACCCTTTACTTGAATTTTTTCAAGTAGCCAATAGTAAGTTTCTTTACTTCAAACTATTTTTAATGCATCGGAGAATGAGTTTGTTATGTATAACCTTGGAATTTGGTTGTTAGATATTACAGAAAGAAAAGCTAATCTACAGACGTAACTATTGAAAGACGTTCATGTTTTATAACGTTGAACCTGATTTACAGCAATGAGTAAGGTTCAACTTCACCATGTTCCTTTGACATCAATGTATAGATTTGATGATTCTTTAGAGATAAAGGACGCAATGTTACCTGCTTTAGATGACAGGTAATAAAGTCAACTTGCCAGAGGCTCCGGATGATTTTCCCAGAATGCATCAGATTTTAGACTTTTGAACCAGAACGGATGAGGTAAAGCTGAGTAATAAAGAATTGCCTTACTGGGCATTATTAGGGAAGCACTTATTGAAAAGGAGACAAGTACGTAGGTGTACTGAGAAGCAAATCTCCAAGTATGATAGGCAGAAAAACATTGATTGAAAAAAGCTGGAATTTTTTTAAAAATAAAATTCAATAATTTATTTTACAATTAAAATAGACAAAAAAAGGAAACACAAGTTAATTTTTCCAGCAACGCAATATCAAGTTAAACTTATTCACTATCGCTATCAGACTCTTCCTCAGCTTCTTGCATCCATTTGATGAAAGGCATCAGCTGTTTCTTCAACGATTCTGACTCATCACTTAGATTATGATACCACTTCATGATCTCTTCTTCCGCTAAAATGTCTTTCTCATACAAAAAAACGAATACTTTAACCGCCACTTTACCAAATAATTCATTCGACGAAGCCACTTCTTCTATTGCTTGCAGACAGTCCGCCTGGGCATCTTCATTTCGCACATAATTCTTCAAGATTGGGAGGAAATAGATTAGTCTTGATTTCAGTTGCTGCAGGTATTTCCCGAGTTTCTGTACGTTTTCTAATTTCTCCAAGTCTTCATTCTCTGGCAATGTTAGCAATGCCCGAACAACATGAAAATTGACTTCTCCCACGCTCACATTGTATGCATATCTTGATGAATTAATTTCTAGTATTAAATTATCACAGAGCAACTTATCTTCAAAGCCACGAACAAGGGAATCAACTACTTCAGAATAGAATAAGTTAGTATCGTCAGGTAGTGGTGTCTGAGCATGATGATCTTCATCGTCACTGAGACTTGTATCACTTTCTGAACCAGCAACTCCGTCTTTCTCTTCATTATCATCATCGCTGAGACACAAGCCAAGGTATTCTTCATTCGGACTATCCTCTTCATAATCGCTGTCCGAATCATCAGCATCTTTGTTTTCATAAATGTAAGCTTGTGATCCGACTTTATCTTTGCTCTCCGAAGCCTGCAACAACATACTCTTTACACACGTTTTTGAATCTAAGACAACATGAGGACCGAGAATACATCCATCCAGTACAGACGAACTCTCCCCTACTTGAGACGCAGATCCTAGGACTGCATAGCTGATAGTGCAATTATCTTTCACAATGCAGCCGTCAAAGAGAAAAGAGTTTTTGATGGTAACGTTAGAACCAATTTTACACTGGCATCCGATGACACTATTCTTAATTACCGTGTTATTCCCAATTTGCGATCCTGCACCAATAATCGTATCTTGAAGGAGCTTGCAGTCCTTGGAAAGAGAGATATTCTGTTGCAGATAAATATTGTTCCGCCTGTAGGTATACGGTGCTTGGACATTATTGTCAGGCACTTGTGGATGTACCCAGCGGTTAATAACATCAGCACTAACCTGCTGGTAAGAGCTCCAACTATTAACGCAGGCAGTATACTCATCTCCTAATAAGACATGACTATAAACTGAACTGGCTAGAATTTCTTCATTGATGAGTAAACCTCTCACAAAATCATCTAAGGTTTGAAAATCAAAATTGTCCGAGAAGAGAGGTGGTACGGCTGCTGAACAAACACAGATATTGGTATCAAGAAGATCATTGCGTATATCAATACTTGGGTACTGTAAAACAATTTCTAGAGGAATATTGAAGCGTTTTGTGGTCGATTTGTCTTGACATAGAACTCGCCCTGTTTTAGAATCAATTGCAAGAATAACATTTTCTGCATTAGTTTTCCTCCGTTTGCCAGCTTCTTTCAGAATTAAAGTCATTACAGCCCCTTTGTCAACTGACTGAATGTATTTATGTTTGTTGAGAATTTTCTGGAACTTGACATTTGATACTGCCGCGCCAGTAAAGAGCAGAAAATCGCTCTTGATAATACCTTTGGCATCAAGATCCCGCATGGCATTACCTAAAGAGTAACATCCTTCAGAGATGACAGTGGAGATGGACAGGCCAGGCCACGACTTGTTCTTCACATGCTGTTTGATTTGATCCGCAAAAGTAGAGCAAAAAAGGATGACTTCTTGAATGCCAGCAAAGGAGAGAGACTCAAGGGTGTAGTCAAGTAAAGGGCGATTGACTAGAGGCATTAAACAGGGAGCAATGTCACTGCACACTGGCGCGAAATTTTTGTTAAACGTGTCGGTTATAACAACCGCTACTGTTGTAGCTTTCATCAAATCGCCTGACATGGTAAAATATTTCTGCAGCACTACAAGAAAAAGACAAGCTGAAGGTGTTTTATGTATGTTTAAGATGAAAGTGCTGTTTTAATCACTGAATAAATTGTTTTGAAAACAAAATTCACACGTCGAATCAAGAACACATTCTAAGGATCACACCTTGACGATTGATGATGGGACTGATGGGAGGTCTGATTTTAGGACAGAATGTTCATGACCTAGGAGAAAAAAGGCAAAATACATTATTGATCAGGGGATAAAATTAAATTTCTTCGTGATAACACTCAGAAAGCACTTAACATCAACTGACTGGGGGTGGGGGGAGAACTTTACCATATTTTCTAACCTCTTTCATAATATGATGAGTGATGATGCAGTGAGTGATGCAATCGATGATAAACAAACTATTTCTCTTTGGCGCTATCTATTGGCCATGTATTCAATTATTCCCAGCGCCTCGATTGTTGAATCGTTATCGAATAAGTTTGATCGACAACTCCCTACCTTCACAATGATATATATCGGTCAAAGCCATTCGACAGCGATTCACCGATCGACTCTCTCGCAGCAGATCGTCTTGATGGTTGCCGGCATCATATCACGATCACGGTGTGTCTGTGTCATCCGATTCTGATTTTGCAGCGTGTTGAACCTTTTTCTTAGATTTCATAAACTTTTCACCCTCCATTCTCGTGAGTTTATCTGTGATTAACTTCCCGTGAACAGTTTCAGTTCGTAGATATTTTTGCACGTAATTCTTGGTTAATGTTATCGACTTTTTGTGTGGTTCAGGACCTTACCTACAAGGAACAAGTAACAAGCTTTTTTCGATGTTCAGTAGGAAATTAAAAGCCTTAAAACATCACTCGCCCGACTCTGTCGACGTGCGAGATCAAACGCAGTTCAGGAATCTTGTCTATTGGCTGGAGGATCAGAAGATCAGAAATTATCAAATTGATCAGCGGGCAAATCTTCAGAAGATCGACTCTCCTGATTGGCCGAAAGCTTTTGTCAAGTATTGTAAAGACAATGATTGTCCCATAGAGAGTGGAGATCAAATTGAATGTCTTGAGTGGCTGCTGGGTCATGCTGTCAAACTAGAATACGCTGATAACTTCGAAAAGTACAAGAACTTTTCTGCAGAGAAACTCGTCCAGACATCAAGCTCTGCTCCGACAGTCAAATCCGCTAACCCTCTAGACGCCCTTGATTTTGAGAGTCAAGCATTCAAAGACGGTGTGAATGCACTTGCAAAACTTTTGAACATTACTTGCCATCCTGATCACTTGGTAACATTGAAAGCTATCAGTCAATTCGTCTGCCAACGTCTCAGACCTGAAGTTATCGAAAAACCAGAACAGTTTATTGTCAAAGGAAAACCATTCCCAATAGCAGATATTGATTCTGGTTTCAACGAACCAGACCACGTTACGAACCTTGCTGCCAAAATACTGCGTCTATTGTACATTCACGACTTGCGGGACCTGCAAACAAAAATCAACGAGTGTATCGTCAGTACTCAAAGTTTAACTGCCAACCCCAAAACAGACACAAAATTAGGAAAAGTTGGGCGTTAAGATTATATGATCAGAACCTGCGTCACTCTGCATCTTTTGTTATACCTGCAAACCTGTCAAACTCAACCAAGTTGATCATACATTTACCCACTTATTTTGCCTGTCTCGATTAATTTTGACAGTGAGTATCAAATTCTAATCTGTTTTGAATCTTTCTACAAAATCGTATTCTCAGGTACTCCCCACCAAGTAGATTCTGTTTCAGATAACTTGCCCTTTTTACTGCACATGTGGTAAGTAGCTAAAGAGAATTTGCTACTTATTCCCCGCTTGCTGAGAGATAGGATACATATGTTATCTGAAACGGGCTTTGGCATCATATTAATTGCTAGCAGACAGCCAGTGTCTGCACTGTATCATTACTTGTTTTCCCTTGCCATACCTAACCAAAAACACCTGTGGACTTTTATCAAGGTAGGTTCTGTTGATGTGTGAAGCCCAATTCAGAAATTCCAGACCAAAGATTTTATTCAAATACTGTTGCCGTATTATATTGTCATAACACTGGACATCAGCATTCAGGTATTTCTGTCAGCTTCTGCTTTTTCGAAGACACAGTGAACCATCACATCTTTGAGACAATTTTGAATTTCTTAAGTAGTCCTATATCATTCCAAACAGATGGATTGTCTTCCAATTTCATTTTTCAGCATAGATCTGGAAATGACCTCAACCCTCCATGAGTAATCTCACAGATCTCATCATATCATTAGTCATTAAGAGAAGTTGAAATAAGTATTTTTCTTTCTCACACCCTATTTGCCAGCAAAATAGGTATTTTTTGCATAAGGTTTGTTCTGTCTTTTTCACCAATTTTCTGTCAAAGAACATTTCTGTCTCCTTTTTCATGTTCATTTTGTTTATTTTATGCCGAAGTATTTTTATTGTTCTGTTAATCAAGGGAGACGAATTGAATAGTTTTTCAAGTCTAAATTGTCTTCTCTGTCTAGTGTATTAGACCTGTACTTTTGATGAATATAATTACAATATCCATATATGTTACCAAACAAAAGATGGTTTATGAGGCATCACAAAATCTCACCTTTTCAGTTGGACGATGAGCCTTGGGCCACCAAAATCGTTTTTAGATCATATTGAGGATAGAAACCAGCTGCAAAGCCATCAGCATGCAATGCATTTTCAGTGATAATCTTTCTCCTTCTTTCAGTCTTGCAGTTCGCTTTTTCCCACTCATCAAGATGAAAGGAATCATCGACGTCCTTCAGCTACAAATAGAAAGGGAGCGAGTCAAACCAATCGTTCAGCCTATCGACTATACTCAACATAATAGCACCTTCTATGGAGCCAGATACATTTTTGAATGCGGTTTGTCTCAATTTTCCTGAATATTGCCACAGTTATTCTTTTTGCTTTAAGACTTAATTTTAATCTGGAACCTTGAGTGAGAGAAAAAGGGGCCTTTCATGAATATTCAAAATTGAGGTTTTGCAAAATTTATTTTGAACAAATTTAACAGGGTCCCTGTGCTGTAATTTTTCATGGAGGTTTTCAGCTGAAACAACTTCAAACCTCTTGTCCAAAGCATACTTAGTGAAAATTTAAGTTCACCTACTTTTTTTTAGCATTAGACTCGGTAGCATTCCTGAGCTTGATGAAAAATTATTATACTTCAATACTAAACCTTCTGTAATTCCTTTTTTCAAAGACACTTTCAACTCAAGAATGCTTTTGAGCCAATAGTTGAAAAATTCTAAGCTTTCATTTCCCCTGTAAAAACTTCAACAATCCACAATTTTTTCCTCAGGAGAATGTAAAAATTTTGCGATACCTTACAGTTTTTAGTTGCTTAGTAATTTCCCTCTGTCTTTGTTCTATGTGTCTTTCATGAAAGTTTTCCATTCAGTATTTGATCTCCCCTTTTTCATTAACTAATTCGTAAGTCTTGCCCCCCAAAAATAGCTCCATCTCCCAATATCATCTCAAATTGAACATTTTTAGCCTTCCTGGGGCAAAGAATAATCTTTTCATGTATTTGTTTCCTATTATTTTGATCCATTTTTCACAAGTAATAATTAAGATGCGTCAGTTTGACTTTGTGTTGTACAAATTATTTTCATAAGTTGCTTTGCTGCATAAAACAAGAATGTCCCGCCTATTTGTGCCAACTCAATTTGTATTTTTCTTGTGATCTCAACGCTCAGCATAGCATTTGTAGTATGAGTTTCCTGTGGGATTACATATTCATTCCAAAAATACAAAAGATGAAGGGTTGTTAATTTTCTTGTGATAGAATACTTGAAGACGAGAAAAATAAATAAATTGGAACAAGGTTTTGGAACCAAACTAATCATGATCATAAAATTTTGATAGGACAGGATGATTTGAATGTTTTGTTTTGATACATACCCAACTCAGAATATCTCCTCCATCTGATCAGTTGTAAAAAAATTATTCTAATAGTTGATTCCACTCAATTTTTTTTCTTCAAATGACCAGCATGAAGTTTTACATACGTCTTACTTGCAAGACTTGATCAGGAAACAATGAATTTTTGCAGAATAAATTCAGATGCTATTTTTTTCCTAATTTTATTTTTTAAATGAATTTCAGGTTACAAACTGAACATGCAACCTTTGACCATTGCAACTGCTGCCACAATATTTCATAGATTCTTCAAGAAAGCGGAATTGAGCTCATATGATGTTTACGTGAGTTCTATTTTTATTTATTTCTTAATTCATGTATGCAAACACCAGCTCATGAAAGCCTAAAAATGCACTATAGAGTTAAAAATGTATGGTTATTCTACAAAAACAAGTTTCTCCATTGCAATGTTTCGAAGCTGCTTCCTTCTGTACTTTTTTAAAAGAGTAACACATTAATGAGCTTTTACGTAATTTTCAGAGTAGTTTCGAGCAATGAAATTATCTGTTATCAACAAAAAAAATGAAATTTGAAACTTTGGACCCTGGTTATCTATTCAGTATTTTTCATTTATCCTGATTTTATCACTGTTATGAGATGATTTTCTCTAAAAATGATGTGGGAAAGTATATAAACACAATTTTGGTCAATTACCCAGGGAGAGGCAATAAAATTTATAATCCTTCGTAAATTCCGGAAGTAAATCAAGATTTCCCCCAAGAAATTCTTACAGAAATTATGAAAATATCTGGTGCCTGCGTCAGAGATTTTTTTGCTGTGACGAGGAAGAATAAGGGAAATAGTAGGAATTGAAGCAATTTAAGCATTCTAGATACCACAGTCTACGTTTATAAACATTTAGTTTTGTTTTTATGTATGTAACTCCCTTAATGCCTCAGCTCAAAATGTAAAAAGCTGATATTTTGAGCTACAGCAACAAGGCAACAATGGATTAAATTTAAAAACAAAGCAGTTTTGTTATTATCAGCTAAAAGCTGATGGTTCACCGTAAGTTTTAAGACCAAGATCATCTCTCTACTGTTTATATGCCTCTCTTGAGTTGGAATTTTGACCCCCTCCCTCCTAATTATTCGTTTCCAAAAATCGTGATTGTTTTGGTCGCTACAATTTATTCTCCATCAACCCTGTAAATTTTTCGAAAATCAAGATTGGCTGAAACGACCAATTTTGGTTAAGGTCCTTTGCAATTCTTCTGCATGATCCCTCTGTGCGTAACAAAAAGAAAAATTCCGTGAAATTGATCTGTACTACGATTTTTTTTCTCATTCTCAGTTGATAGCTGCAACTTCATTATACATTGCTGGAAAAACGAAAGACGATGCCGTGAAGATCAGGGATGTGATAAATGTGGCCAACAACACCCTTCACAGGGGCTCGCCACCGCTGGATCTGAATGATGAATATTGGAGCATGCGAGATGCAATTGTTCAAGCAGAGTTGCTGCTCATGCGCATGGTCCGATTCGAAGTGACCCACGTCCACCCACATAAGTATCTACTCCACTTCTACAAGTCGCTCCAAGGATGGTTATCACCCTCAGACTGGCGCGAAACACCCTTGATCGAAGCAGCCTATGCTTTTCTGCAAGTATGCTGGTTTTGCCTTTCCCTTGGTGCTAATTTGAAAGGCTTTGATTCCTTTATTTCAAGTACATAATTTTGCGGAACGATGGTGACCGAAGTGTAAAACGATGTTTTTCCATGGTGGTGTCTCAAAGTTTCAAAAGGCAGGCCTATTTTATTTTTTTGAAAGGCAGCAAGCCAACTTCATAACTTGACATGTATACAGAATATTATGCTAATAGAAAAGATAAATCAAGAAAGTTTTCAAGAAATTGTGTTGTCTGGTTTTCCAAAGAAAAAATAAAGTATGACAGGAGGAGGTCTGGAGGTCTACAAAGCTGCATACAGAGATACGTGATTTTGCAATTTTTTCCCCAACCTTTTATTTTTTGGAAAAAACTTGAAATAGCATAGTATGAAAATATTACTAATGTATATCCAAACTCTTAAGAAACTGGAGGATTAATTATCAAAATTTGTATATTTGCAGAGTTGTTTGTACCTAATCAACTTAGACACAAAGCAAGGCTGAAAGGCTAAAGCTGTGGAGTTTTACAGAGGTGTTGGCAAGAATTTCAATTTCATTGACTCTCGTAGATGATACAATTCAAAAACATGAGACCAAGCTGGATGATATGCCACCTAAATGACGAGCCCAGAAATCAGGATTTATTCAGGAATATTGATTTCAAATGAGAAAAATGTAGAGATTCATTCATTCATTCTCAAAAATGCTGAAAGGCCCTAATGTGTTCTTTTTCTTTTTTATTGTTTCAAAGTATAGAACTACTCAGAAATAATGGTAATCCCATTTTGAATTGCCTCACTATACTTTCATGAATATTTTCTGAGGTCTGAGGTTCAAAATAGGTTGATTATGACCGTTACAATTGTTTCTTTCCTGTTTTTATTTCTGGCGCTGGACCCTTTTTAAGAATGACGGATTTACTGATCATCAATGGCTACAACTTATCCTTGTATATCTATTCCCTCATTGTTTCAGGATTTTCACCATAGCTCGGTTGTGCTGTATCATAAACCACAGCACATTGCGGTAGCATGCCTAAATCTAGCCATGCAAGTCTACGGTATCCAAGTGCCATGCACCGATGAAACAGAGCGGACATGGTATAGTGTGAGTATCTATTAAATAACTCCATGTCAATATATCTGTGTGACTGTTTAAGATGTCTTGAGGCAATTGTATATTCACATAAAAATTCTTCTGATAGTTTTCTCTAAAACTCAGATTTTTTATTCTTGAGACTGCACAAACACAAAAAAGTATTCTCAGTTAAAAAAGATTCCAATTTTTTTTGTCAGTCAGTTTTTGAACAATTTTCTTTGAGGAGCAAGTTCCTGCTTTTGTAGACGGTCAATATGCTTACTTAACTGGATGCTAAAGTAATGCTGGGCTCACATTCTTCTGATTTTGAAGAAAGGAAAAATAGTACAAAAATTGCAATAGGCACTCAAGTTACAATCAAACTATTTTTCTGTAAATATTTATTTTTATCATTTTGTTCTGTTGAAAAAATGAGTTCTTCAAGCACCCATTAAATTTTTAGTCTATAATTTTGTATTATTTTTACTTTGCAGGTATTTGTGAATGACCTCTTAAACGAGACCCTGTGGGAAATTATGGAATCAATAATGGATGTTTACTCAAAGAAGTAAAATTTCAAGAAATCGCTCAGAAAGATTTTGCATTTAAGCTTTATTACTATTATTTTCATCAAAATTATACGCAGGAGACCAGAAGACAATAAAATTTAAGTCTGCTAAAAATCTGTTTCATTCCTCAAACTTTGTCACAACCTCGACATACCTACCTCCTCAATTTGTATGATTATGCGACCCAAACTCCTAACTATTTACCCAATGTTTGAAAAGTGATGAATTTTTATTCCTCCTTAGCTCATTATGCCCAGATGTTGAATCAATGAAAATTAAAGAATGAAAGAAAAAGAGGCCATCACTATCAAAACTTAGGGGTGAACAAGTTTTCCTAGCTTAGGCAGTAGATTGGTAAATCTGTCCTTGATGGTGATCCTTTTTTTTTTTACGATTTTACAATGGAAGTTATTGGTCCTTTAAATTAGGGGGTTTAGCAGTCAACAACACAATAAAAACTTGGAACTTAATTAAAACAGTTTCAATTATTTTAGTTCTCTATAAGGGGATATACCAATGGCTTGAGTCATAAACGTATCTCTCCTGTTGGAACGTTACAAAACCACTCCTTTTTTCCCCTATACTTCTCTGTGAATTTTCCTCACTTGTTCAAAAGATTCACTGAATATTTCAATGAGATATTTTGATTATAGCTCTAAATTAAAAAAATCAAATGAGTGCGAGAGATTATGAAACATTAAATTGGATGCACTTATATGTTTTGCTGCAAGCCATTATTGTGCAGTCAGTTTTTTTCATAATTGTATAAGTTGCAGAAATCAAACAATAAAACAGTAATCAATGCAATAATTCAGAAAATCAGTCAAAGATTAAATTTATTTCTTAAATATTTCAAGAAAATGATTTTATTAAGATTTTCGATTTTCATTTTATCGGGTATGAGTGATCGATTTTCTTCTCCTTTTGTTTTCCAACAGCGGAAGAATAATCAGGATAACCCAGGGAAAAGTAAGTTGATTTTAATCAGCATGCATTTATTCAGGTACATATAAGTAATAAAATATTCTCGGGCAAATGAGGTGACTCATTTATTATTGTTAAGTGAAGAAACATTTCCAAGAGGTTGCATCACGACCTTCTATTTAGCTCATATTCTCAAGTGTTCGTCCTATTATAAATAAAATATTTTCGGAATAACAACACGAAATGAATTCGCTATAAATTAAATAAATGTTGTAGCAAAACTTTTAAGCCACGGGAAGTCCTTGTTGGCGAAATTCAAATTTCGCGCCAGTTTGGCCGCGTTACGTAGCATCTGATGATTCGTGCATACCCCCCACCACCACACACTCTTTCTCAGGCCATTTTCTGACCGTTGTGTGAGTGCGTGCCGTCGATGTTCGTGGGCAACCAGAGGTCTATATACATTAATTAATTGTTAAAAAATTTCTTTGTGAACTTCATTTCCAAATTAATACCAAGTTTCAATCATCGTGCTTTAAGAAATGGGTGAACCAAAGGGGTAAGTGTCGTATTTTCACCGCTATCATCGTTAACACAACTGTCGGTCTCTGTTTATTTTCTAACCAATCCTTCAAATTCATCCAGTCACTTGTAAAGTGGCCTATCCTCAATTCTTCGTTTTTATAATTTTAACCAGAATTCCATCTACCTAAAAACGCTAATCAAATCACTGAGGATTCAATGGGTGCTAGGCTCAGCCCGGCTTCTTCAGAGATTTCTTATTTTCCATTTCAATGCACCTCCACTTCCCATGTCTGATACGGTCTCTAATCAGGAAGACTGCTCTTCCTGATATCAGTTCCTCTATTCATTTTTTGCTCAAATTTTTTTCCGGAATTGACTACGCTCGGAAAAAACTGCATTTTCCTCTGTTCACTAATATGGAAAGAACTGTGTGCAATTTTCAAAGTTTTCAGTCCTCTCACTTTGTCTCGGTAGCTTCTGGAAGCTAATCAGATGTCCTCATGCCGTAACAAAGGAATTTTATATTATCTCTAAATATCAGAGGCCTCCTCCAAAATTGAGTTCATTTTTCTCCCTGGATCCTCTGTTCCTCAGCTCTAGATTTTCTAGGTGTGAATGTAACTTTTCCAAAGTGAAATTTCTCTTTGTTGATAATGAATTATAAATTGGAGGTTAGAATGACAAAGCACCTTTGTGCACTTTCATCCAGCCAGTCAATATCAATTTTTCCTTGTTTTCTTCCTCTAATTTACGAGGTAGTTGAAAGGAAAGTAAGATCATATTAAGATAGGCTTCACGCATATGAAGTTTATCAATCCTCTTTATTTTTCATGCTTTTCTGAAATTAGGTACTTCAAAACTCTATGAAGCTTTCTCTGGTGCTTGCTATCACACTCTTACCAGTGAAAGTCTGAAAGTTACATCTTTTTGCTCCATGTCAGGACATAGAACAATGCATGAGATCGTTAAATTCTCTGTTAATATACCTCTATTTATTAGAGGACAGAGTGTTTTTTTTTTATTTTTCAACCAAATTTATTCTTCTATGTTTTGTACGTTTGAAGGGAGTTTCACTGGAAATATTTTTATCCTGAAGTCGTTCAATTTTTTTTTGTGAGGTAATCTTCATTTTTTTACAATAATTCTTTAATATCTTTTAATGCAACGTGAAACACCTATGTTGCCAAAGTTTTTTGGGTCTAGTTTGTCACCTAGCACCCACACTGAAGAGATTTCCCAGTTTGGTGGTATAACAAAAGATGCACCTTGATAGCTCACGAACTCAGTAGGCGTGGACTTCAATGTCTAGTTGGATCCAGAGTTCTGGCTCTACTTGTGAACTTGACTCAGTCATTCTGGCTGTAATGTTTTCCACTTCTAATTTTCCCTTCATTTTCTTTTCTACAGGTCTGAAGATTTGTCCACAGCAATCTTGAAGAAGAAGGACAGGCCAAATAGATTGTTGGTTGAAGAAACCGTGAACGATGACAACTCTGTTGTTGCTTTATCTCAGGTAACTTTTTTGGGTCAATATGTCCGAGTTTTTAAATATGACGACATTGTGACTCGAAGGAACATTGTAGGTGTTAAATGAATGTGTACGGCTGAAAAGTATGTTCAGACAGAAAGGAAGAATTCCTTGAAATGTCTTAAAAAAGGGGTCTCAGAAGAGGAGCTATTTCTATAAGTGGGAGGATCCATTATCCTAGAAATCAAAGGAAATCTCGCAGAGGTGTGAAAACCTTGACCGCACCATGATCGGTCGCTTTCAAAAATTGTATAATGTGAAGAAATACTAGCCTGATTCGGCAACATGGCAATCAAAATTGTTTATAGTTGCATCAGCAGCTACTGTGACATTGTTTAGTCTTTTTCTTCAAAACATTGCTGCCCTCAGCAGAGCTGATGAGAGTTTTAGGGCAAGGGCTCATCTAATGTGCAATGTGTACGAGCAGTAAGAGTAACTAGAAGCATCTCGGTTCATCACATTTCACTTGTTACCAAATGAAATGAGTTGACCAAGGCTTACTTACCTTGTAGGAACCACTCTAAGTAGCTCAGCTGTAGATATGTGTGCAAACTTGGCATCACATTCTAACATTATCTCTAAGGTTTCTTCTATTACATTTTTTCATCCTGATTGCATTGTAGCATGTCAATTGGTAGCTGGGAAAACCGCAAACTATAGTAAAGCACAATTAGTAGTCAAAAATCAGCCAATCATATATCAATGAGCTATTTACATATCAGGACCAAGAAATGAAGTAGGTAAGATACTTCATTTGGGAGGGCTGTGTAACTGTTGTTACCTATCTTAAATTTTGCAAGAATCCTGGTGGTGTTTGGTAGTGATTTTGCCTTTCATAAACGTTCAAGCTCTAGAAAAGCTCATTGAGTTAAGTAAGGCTGTAAAGGAGAAGCATACCCTTTCTCCAAGAGTGGCCACCCCCATACTCGAACTTTCCGCTCTAGGCAGGGATCCCAAACATTTCCAGCCCTCCCATTTTAAAAACCCTTTTTTCTCCAAATTTGCTAAGAGATGACCTCTTTTTATTTTTTCTCTATTTCTGTTTGGGCGGATTCCCATAAAAAAATAAATTAAATAAAAATAATAATAATCCATGTGATTTTTTACACAAATGTTAGCCAGCTTTCCCATTTTTCATGAAACAGGGGCTGCATGTTCTGAGAGTGTCTCACCCTGTAAATGATCCAAAGTAAGTTAGAACTCCATTCGCCAAAGATTATGTTCACAGGGATGACTAATCTCTTTTCAAGGCCTTTAGCTGTGAAAGAATGAATTGCCTTGAGATCTATTTTAAGATCTGTCTTCTTCATTCATTCTTTGTGATGGTTCAGTATTCTGCCTCTCCATTTAATAACTGTTCATTTCAAAAGGGAACAAGGAAAAACACTCGCCCTCAAATTACCCCAATGCACTCTGATTTCCAAAATTTTGCTACAAAGAGATTTATTCAACTTGAAAAGAGTGTCACTCCATCAGTGATTGACTTATATTTTCTGGAACATGTCTAGCTTTTAAGGGGTCTAAGAAACTTTTTAAACTCAACCTTATAATTTTGTGCTTTCACATTGTGTTACCTAGTCATAAACCATGGGGAACGTAAGTGGTTTACTTCACAGTAGATATTAATAGATTTTTCTCTGGACTATTGCTTTATTGAAAACATTTTCCCGTAATGTTTTTACAAAATTTACTCTCTTAAGGTAACAAATTAAGTTTTAACCAAGCGGTAAAAGAAGTTTCTAGAAGTCATCTTCCCTGAAGGCTCAAATTTTTATATATGTCCTAGTTCAGATTTGGAAAACCATTGGATGAAGATTGTGGGAGAGCGAAATAAAAAGTTGAATTTTAGAGGCCGAAAGAAAATTGTGTATTGAATTTAGAAAAGTTAAATATACATGAGAGTCACACTTTATAGCTAAAATACGCCAGAAGGGCTTGAGGGTGTAATGCATGTACATACGGGTCAGGGATGGAATGGATCAAGAATATTGGGCAGCTCACGCTTTCGTAGACTTGATGACGTCACGGGTGGTGAGACTTCAAGTCTATACGTGTTTGGCTGCCTATAATCAGTGGAGCTATCAGTTGCAAGCATAGTCATTAATTTTATTTGGTGATGACTGGATGATAGGAGTGAAAAAGTGAAAAATGTACAAAATCCAGCCATCCCTAATGACTAGTCTGAAATTGAAATGAAAATTGAAAATTTAAGGCAAAAACATGAGAAAATGTTGACAGGTTATCACAGCAGTTTCCAGCAAAAGAAATACTTAACTAGGGGAAGGGGGAGGGGAGAAAATTCTCAGCCAAGTTCCAAAATTTGTATTTTATAATCATATGATTGAGGTGTCCGTTAATGAATAAATCTGTAGACTTCTCCTCAAATTTGAACAATGAGATTCCCTGTTTTAATGCATTTCATCTTCGTAATGCATGCATGCCTACCTATCCCTCTTATACATTTCATCATTCCAATGGAAGAATTGGCTTAAATTCTCAGGTATAACAAAGAATTAACTACGTATAAATTTTGCCGGATCTTTTAGTAAATAGAGCAGCTCTCAAGTATCTAAGTTTACTCAAAGATCAAGGTTTCAAGGTAGCAGGGTCCAAGGAAAATAATTTCAATTAATTTTTCCTTTGAATTCCATCATTCTGAGACCACTTCCAAAAAACCTAGTACACTGTAGCTTTACAAAACCCTGCCTCTCTAAGCTGGAAGTAATGATGACCTTGAGAACAAGGCTCATAGTGAGATGAGGAAACTGGTTTTTTATTAACAGTTTTTTCATTCATACCTCTCTCAAATCTTGAACTCATGAATTTTTGCTGGCTTAGCTCTTGTCAAATGAGCTTCAACTACTATTTCTTGCGGTGCTCTTTAATTCTCTTACCGATTTAATTTGGCTTCTGGCTCAAACAATGTTGATTTGTCCCTTTTCTGCCATTTTTTTCTCTTCTCTGGAAACCATGTAGCGTAGCTAATGCACTGGCATAAGTGCTCTCTTTTTGTGTTTGAAAATACAGCTGTGGTAACATGAAAAAGAACCTCGTGAATAAAAATCATTGGATAGCTTTTTGCATAGCTTGAACAGAACAAAATGAGGAAAAAATATTTTTTGGAAGTTGACATAATGGCCTCATTTAAGAGTTCATAATTTTGTAATCTGCAGAAGCTCTCGAAAAAAACGCAATTTCCACGTATATCCATTTACTTCAGATGTTGAGCAAAGAATCAACTTGATCAATGTTTTTTTCTTCTTTTTGTTCAGGCAAAAATGGATGAACTCCAGCTCTTCCGAGGTGATACAGTTCTGATTAAAGGCAAGCGCAGGAAAGAAACTGTGTGCATCGTTCTTGCAGATGAAACTTGTCCATTCGAAAAAATCCGCATGAACCGTGTCGTGCGGAATAACCTGCGCGTACGTCTGGCTGACGTCGTTTCCGTCCAGCCTTGTCCAGATGTTAAGTATGGAAAACGTATCCATGTTTTGCCCTACGATGATACCATCACAGGAATTTCCGGGTAAGTAAAGTTTCGTTTTAACACACTTAAAGTAAAAGCTTATGTAAACAGGGCTGTGCTTCATTTGAGCTGCAGTTAGCCATGGTAAACCAAATTTGTTGTACTAATGTTGTAAAGCCTGTCACAAGTTAGTGAGGTATTTCTCTTCATTTTCAAAGCAACAGCTCATGTAGTAGATTGATCTCAGGAAAGCAAATATCTATTTTGGACAAGGAAATGTGTCAATGGCGTGTTCTCAAAATTTCACATTAATTTTTATGGAGAATTCTGCTTTCTTGTCAGGGAACAAGTTGACTTCCATCTTTCCTTTAAACTTTGTTCTCTGCTGCGAAATGTTGTTCACCTAAAGAGAGGAGAAGCTGCACCCGAAAAACTGCTGCTTAGAGATGTTCGTATGTGTTTAAGTTTAAATTTGCTCACTTTAATTACCTTGCTGTAGAAATAAAAAAGATTTTGTAAGCAGGTGCTTTCCAATTTTACCCCCTCAGTTTTCAAGCGTTATCCAATAAAGTGACAGAAACTTCCCCTCTACTTTAATAACCTCACTCCTTTTTTCAAGGGACCCATTTAAAAATTACTTGAGGCACTTTTTGGTATCCAGCAGTACTTTAATTTTAAATCACCTCTGGTTGTGGTTTTTTCTGTTGGCAGCAGTTACTGTGAAAGAGAGTCATTCACAATATCTTAGTAGTATTTTATCTTGATCCTTAAAGACACATTTCTAATTCTAGATAAAAATTGAGTAAATCTCTGAGGAAAATTCGGGCCGTGGAATACTTTTAGGAAATTGATCGTCCTCTACCGATGAATGATTTCCAACGTATGCACATACCTGCTTTCAGCAACTCAATCTCTGTGTTTCTGTTTTACAGCAACCTGTTTGAAGTCTATCTTAAACCATATTTCTTGGAGGCTTACCGTCCAATTTACAAGGATGATTCATTCATTTGCCGTGGTGGTATGCGAGCTGTAGAATTCAAGGTTGTCGAAACAGACCCATCACCCTACTGTATTGTTGCCCCGGACACAGTGATCCACTTTGAGGGTGATGCTGTCAAGCGTGAGGTATGTTGAATGTGTAAAATTTGATCAGATTTTTTTATGTATGCACCTATTTATGGATGGTTTAACCACGCTGATTTAGCAACCAATTTTTCAAAAATCTCAAACTTAGAACTCCTGTTAAAATCTTTGGAACTTGCTCATTAACAATTGACATTTTCAAACTCAGATCATTATTTTTTTCTTCTTTTTTTCTTTTGGTATGTGTGTGTGTGTGTGTACTTTAAATATTCTCGGTGAGGATAAAAACGAAGTCAAAAAGCTTCAATTGATGTAAAAAAGCTTTCATTTTCTTTCTTACAATCTTCTTAATAATTAATTTTAGGAAAATCATCTTAATAAATCATCTTAGTAGAGTTTTGGAAGGTTCCATTCCAGTAAAAATTAGATCATTGAAGGAGTCAAAAATCTTCAAAAGAAATGGTGATGAATTGTTCTTACTGCTGTGCTGAGTGATGATGAATTACGCCGTTAGTCATTGTGAAATCATCGTAAATACTGAAATACCGATACCCACCCAGTCTCAAACAAAGTGAAGAAAAGTGAGATCATAACTGCAGTTGTGGGCAGGTAGGAACAAGATATATGACTCTTTGAATAACTTCAAAGATAATGCCTTTCACATTGTGCAAAGATTTCGAAGTGGTTTCAATTCTCTTTTGTAAAGTTTTGAACGCAAAATGCCTCCGATAAAATGTAAATCAAATATGACGAGATGCTCAGCTAAGATTTTTTTCCTTTTTCTTTTTTTTTCGTCTACCGTCGATTTGAGGATGACCCTTTTTGATTATCACTTAAGTTTCACTTGACCTTGCTCATTCAAGAAAGTTTAAAGTGTGAAAGCTTTATATCAAGTTTGTGATGAAAAATCCCCAGCCTACGTTTTGTACTGCTGTATTTTAGGTAAGAATTAATCTTTAACAAATATACTAGGAATTTTTTATTATTGCTCAGAGTTAAAAATTGATTTGTTGTAAATGAATCATCTTTTTTTCTCTTATTTTAACTATACAAATCCTTCTGCAGGAAGAGGAAGAAGCGTCCAGTGCTGTAGGTTACGATGACATTGGAGGTTGCAGGAAGCAGCTAGCTCAAATTAAAGAAATGGTTGAGTTGCCGTTGCGTCATCCTTCTCTTTTCAAAGCTATAGGAGTGAAGCCACCGCGTGGTATTTTGTTGTATGGCCCACCGGGTACCGGAAAAACACTCATCGCCCGTGCTGTTGCTAATGAAACCGGTGCATTCTTTTTCCTCATTAATGGTAAGCATTTCTATTTTTCTTCTATTCTGAATTGTCTTTTTCCTTGCTCCATCACGTTAAGAGATCAATTTTATTTTTAAAATTTAGTAAGAAATATCAACGTTTGATAGCACCTTTTTAATCTGTTGGAAAAAATTTTTATTCCCATTAATGTAATGAAATTTTTTTCAGTTCCTTTTAGTATGTGTCATATACTCCCTGAATTTTGTGTAAATATTGTGGTGCCTACAGAATTAAAATCTGTCAATGTGAAACAGAAATGTACAAAGCCTCTAAATGGAGGATATTCATTGTCGCATGGAAGAGAGCAATAGTTTTCAGTATCTCAATCATCATTTGATTTTCAATTTGTCCTGAAAAATTCTACTGCATCTAAGTGGATTGTCTGTGGACTGCAGATTGAATTTGTAATCAGCAAGAAACTGCAGCTTTAACAATTTTCTTATTTTTTTTCTAGGTCCGGAAATTATGAGTAAATTAGCCGGTGAATCTGAGAGCAATTTGCGCAAAGCTTTTGAAGAGGCAGACAAACATGCTCCAGCTATCATCTTTATCGATGAATTAGACGCCATTGCGCCAAAAAGAGAAAAGGTAAGTTCACATCTTCAAGTACTATTATTCATATGTATTTAGGAGAGTAAATCAAATTTTCACTTGTTGTCTTTCATATGATTCAATTAAGCATCAAAGATACCATACTATTCCAGGAGTTTAATTTTGTATTCAAACTGTCAGTTGGTAAACAAAAGTAAATAATATCTGCTAAAATAATGGTCAGCTGGTGCTGAATTTTGTAATTACAGAATTGAAAGAGAATAAACTATGATAAATGAAAAAACCAGACTTGCACAGTAAAAATACAACATTTTTCCTCAACATTTGATGTTTGGCTGTTTGGGCACTGCATTATTACGTAATTTAGTTCTCTTTTTAATCAATTTTTTTTTGTTTTACAAGACTCATGGTGAAGTTGAGAGGAGGATCGTCTCGCAGCTTCTGACACTCATGGATGGCTTAAAGCAAAATTCTCACATCATCGTTATGGCAGCCACAAATCGTCCTAACTCCATCGATGCTGCATTGCGTAGATTCGGCAGATTCGACCGTGAAATCGATATTGGTATTCCAGATGCAACTGGCCGTCTAGAAATCCTGCGTATTCACACCAAGAATATGAAATTGGCCGATGACGTTGACCTAGAACAGGTAATTTTCTTCTTTTTTTGTCTCTTTTTCTTGCTTTTGGGACTGGGATGAATATCCACTAACACAGTATTTTTCCCAACTTTGCAAGCGAGACTTCACTGGAGCAAATCCCAAGAAAACCTCTTGTAAAAACAGGAAGGCCGAAGATAGATTTAATCTAAAAATCGGTTTTTCTCTGAAGGGTCATTCCATTGTAACGGGTGTGACAACAATTTAACTTTAAACAAAAATTNGGATAAAGCTAAGCAACAGGGTTACAAAACACGTAAAAATTGCAAGAAAAAAAACAAAACGGAGGTAAACCACATATATTTCCAAAAACTAGGAGTATTAAGGAGTCCAAAAATAAATATCGTTGGGTCATTTGGAGGGGGAAAAAAAAATACCCCCCGGACTACCTAGGCGTGGAATGACCCTGAATGTCTTTTTTAAACCAGGAATTTCCAACAATAAACTCTTTGCTGTGGTTTAAAATTTTAGGATATTTATCGTGCTCAATTGTTTGTGTAGTATTGTCCTAAGAAATGCTGCCAGGTACTTGATTTTGCATTTTGTCCTTTAGATTCAATGAGGTCTTTTTTCCTATTGATGATCACTAACTTGTCGATTGTGTATTGCTAGAAGTCAGTTAAGATCCCGAAAAATTAGAAAAAAGAAATTTCATAAAATGAAGAATTATTATTTGTCTAAATATTACTGATTAAAATGCTTATTCATCCTGAATATTATTTTTTGGAGGCTGCATAATTACTTATTCTCATTGGTAATAATGGTTTTAATTTTTTATTTTAGATCGCAGCGGAAACTCATGGTCATGTGGGTGCTGATTTGGCGTCCCTCTGCTCAGAGGCAGCTCTTCAACAGATCAGAGAGAAAATGGATCTTATTGACTTGGAAGACGATCAAATTGACGCCGAAGTCTTGAACTCTTTGGCCGTTACCATGGAGAACTTTAGGTATGCGATGAGCAAGAGCTCGCCAAGCGCTCTGCGTGAGACTGTCGTTGAAGTCCCCAACGTCACTTGGGAAGACATCGGAGGTCTGGAGAATGTCAAGCGGGAACTCCAAGAGTTGGTGCAGGTAATTTCTTTTGTTTAGCAGTCAGCGTCTTTCTCAAATTTATAACATGCTACTTACAATTACATCCTATTTTGGGGGGTTTTAAGGTCTCAAAAAAATCAGTTCAAGTACATTTGACCTCTACTGATCTTTCCATGTTAAATTCTGACATCACTTCTCATAAATTTAAGCTCTAGCATTTGCTCTGTCTCCAAAAGATCATTCATTGTATCGCACTCTGGACCGAGGAAATGTAGCAATTAATATTGTTTTTCAAATTTGCATGTGATTGTAAGTTTAATGCTGGGCTTTAGTTTTACTCATGAATGTTTCTGATTTTCAGTACCCTGTTGAACATCCTGACAAGTTCTTAAAGTTCGGTATGCAGCCGTCTCGCGGTGTGTTGTTCTATGGACCACCAGGTTGTGGTAAGACATTGTTGGCCAAAGCCATAGCCAACGAATGTCAGGCCAACTTCATCTCAGTCAAAGGACCCGAGTTACTCACCATGTGGTTTGGTGAATCAGAGGCTAACGTCAGAGATATTTTTGATAAGGTAAAATTTGGATACTTCAATATCTACTCTTTTCCTCTTTCAATTGGATGCAAACTTTTACAATGGAAACCTAGGCGAATTAGAAAAAATAAAAGAAAGAACCACTCACTCGTCTATTGAATTGATTTGATCATCATAGTATTATAGTTCACAATCTGGTCTGGAACAAAATACTTCAAAGCTTTATCAACAAAGGATGGTAAAAAGACATGTCTTAGCCTGAGACAGATATAGGGGTTTTCCCCCCAAATTGTCATGCAGATAAACTCATTGAGATTCGCATTTTTGGGATTCAGCCATGGATAAAATACTGCACGTTCATGCACTTTTCAAAACTTCCAGTTTGGATGGACAGCTTATGTTAAAACTGGCCCGACCAGAACAAATAATACAGCTCTCATAAATTTTACTTAAAAGTAAGAATCAGTAAGTCCTCCCAAATTATTTAAACATGCTTAAAAATATAAAAAGAGAGCATCTCCTGACTCTGCTTTTTCTCAAATTTGGGCAAAAAACCTCTCTTAAGCGTAAATTTAAATCAGTTTACGTAATAATATTTTAACTTGAAACTAAATGCTGCATGATTTTATTTTACAGGCACGCGCAGCTGCTCCCTGCGTATTATTCTTTGATGAGTTAGATTCTATTGCCAAATCAAGAGGTGGTAATGTAGGAGATGCAGGTGGTGCGGCCGATCGTGTCATCAATCAGATCCTAACTGAAATGGATGGTATGGGCGCTAAGAAGAATGTCTTCATCATTGGAGCTACGAATAGGCCCGGTATGCATAGATAGTTTTATTTTCAATATTATTTGATAAAAACCAAATGACTCCCAAAAAGCGAGGGACCACAAAAATAGGAATTCCAGCCAACCCTGTTTTTGACCACCTTAATTTTCTGCTCTTAAGAGTCAACTTTTCTCCTTGTTGTAATCATCAAAAACAATCAGACAAAGAGAGCCAAATGTTTTAATTGGTGTAGGAAAGAATTGATTTGCCTTTCTCACTCTAATGATGTCTAACAGTGGCTCACTGATGGAGAAGTTAAAGTATATTTACTACTTATTTTTGCTAACTATTTTTATTTCCTTCTACAGACATTATTGACCCTGCAATCCTCAGACCGGGACGATTAGATCAGCTAATTTATATTCCACTGCCTGATGAGAAATCGCGTGAAGCTATTTTCAAGAGCAACTTAAGAAAGTCACCTGTTGCTGGTGTAAGTTATGTTTTACTGTCAAGTTACCTTTTTTTTTTTGCTTCGTTCGATCAAAAGCGCCCTTTACAGAAAAATATAAATATGTATTCAGATTTTTTTCATGAGCCTCTTGCAAACTTTAGCTGGAACCAAAATGAGAGCTTTATTTGATGAGAATTGGCCAAAATATTATTATGAACACTCTGGCAAGGTCGGTAATTCACTTCTTGCCCTTCAATTCATGCCAGAAATTTGTACTCTTTTAAAATAACATCAAGCAATGTCACAAACTACTCTCATTCAACATGTTAATTTTCCTAGACTCCAAGTTTTGTTCTTATCAAAGTTAAAAACCTTTCCCTTCGAAATTGTTAACCTTTTGTTGATGTTAGAAAGAATTCTTGTTTTAAACTTGTTGTTAATGTTTTCAGGATGTGGATCTAACGTACATAGCCAAAGTTACCCACGGTTTTTCGGGTGCTGATCTGACGGAGGTGTGTCAGCGAGCTTGCAAACTTGCCATTAGGCAGTGCATTGAAGCAGAAATCAAGAGGGAACGGGAACGTGCAACCAATCAACAACAAGGAGCAATGGACGTATGTACCTCATTTATAATATTTCATGTGATCAGATACCTACTCCTTAATCGGACATTTCAAGAATCCTAGAATTATTTAGTTTGTATCACTGAAATATATTTTCATTTACAGTTTGCAAAAGCACTCATGTCAATTTTTGTTTTGCATAATCGAGAATTTCCCTCACCAGGAGCGTTATTTGTGTCTGACACTGAATCTGTTACCGTACTTCTGTAATCTAAAGATGAATTTCAGGCTGCGAGTCGCCAAAGTTTTATTTTTCAACTGTCTAAGCTTTTTTACTTTTGGCCTGGAATGAGAACTCTAATATTCTGTAGCAATGGAACTTTATGTCTGTCTGGTAAAATTACTATATTTTGTTTTGTTGATTTTCAGATGGACGAAGATGACCCAGTTCCAGAAATCACTAGAGCCCATTTCGAAGAGGCGATGAAATTCGCTAGGCGGTCGGTGACAGATAACGATATCAGAAAGTACGAGATGTTTGCACAGACTCTACAACAGAGTAGAGGATTTGGAAATAACTTCAGGTATGTTCATTACTTATGTTCCATCAGCATCAATAGAAGGCTATGAAAAATCATTTTTCATTAAATTTTCCAGGATCTGAAGGATTCTGAAAAACCGCGGGTAACTTTGGCTATGTATGTTAGAAACCCATCCTGAAAACATTAATAACAAGTTTAAAACAAAAATTTTTTCTTACATCAACAAAAGGTTGAAAATTTTTCAGTATTCATTGAAGAAATTATTGAGAAACTCGATAATGATGAAAAATCTAGAATGATACTCGACGTCTTAAAGATGAAATGGAGGCTTTCCAAGTTTATTTATGCCTCTTCAAGCAGGAATTAATATTTGCCCTGCTGAAATAATAATGAACTGTTTTGATTCGAAACTTCCTGAACGTCTTGTGAAAATTAGGAAAAATTCTATGCCGAATTTCCAGGAATATGGCTCATCCAATTCCATATCACTATTTTTCCGTTAGCAAGAATACATCTTCTTGAATTTCTTCGAATTTTGACCTGCCTCGATAGACCTTGAGCAAGTGCTGAAATCGAACAATAAACAACAAATGTTGAAAACGAACAGTTCTATGAATTGATAGCTTTTGATTCTTGGGTTTCAGGACCAGTAACTTCTAAAGCTCCCACAGTTTGATTTAATTGCTATAAGATACAATTATTTTTGTTGCAGATTCCCGACAGCAGCACAAGGGACAGCTGCTCAAGGCACAGGCGGGGACCAAACCTCGTTTCAAGATGACGGGGATGATGACTTATATAGTTAGTTAAATTAAACGAAAAACAGCAAACATGAATGCGTACATACTCCCTCAAGCTGTGTGTGCTTTGTATGTACATGGATATTGATTTACATGTAGGTTTTTTTATTTATTTCCTCTTTTTCTATTCAAGCTGAAAAGTTAAATTCAGGAAGCTCATGCCTCCCCGTAAAATTTCTGCATCCTCCTGAGTTTTTACTGACCGTACACGCAATCTTGATTTAGAAATCTTGGGAGTCAAATTTTTACTGAATCCTGAATTTTTTTTACAACGTTTGTACTTTTCTCTTTTGTTTTTAGTCCACTGTATCCCCCAAAGTTTTATGTTTTATTTCTCTATTTTATTGTATTTAAATTTTTGAGGCAACTTTGGAAACGGGAACTTTTCGAGCAAATTTAACAAGGCTAGAATTTTTGGAGTTCCTTGAGTGGAACCTCAGCCTGCGTTTCTTACTCCATCCTCTGCTCAGATGAGGCCGAAACTCCAGAACGTTCGGTGATTTATTCGTAGTATTTTTTTTTTTTTTTAATTTCCCTTCTCCTAATGAAATGTGCGTTAAGTTTAAGCTAATTTTGTAAGAGACTTAACTAAAAGTAAGAGAGCTGCAGAAAATTCAAGCTGTCATGCCAATAAATCAGCAATGAATTCTCCGTTACTTTTATTCCTTGGCAAGATTTCGATTTTCTCTTTACGTTCTCTGTATTGATGTACAGTTCTTGAATCAGATTAAATGGTTTTTAGAAGTTATATATCTTAGTAATTATGTTTGAACTGTTCTCATTATTCCTCACTCTTTTTTTTTCTTTTGTCCTTGGAATTATATTAATATTGTGATAAATATATTTTTAAATTTGTAAAAATTTTCTGAGCTTTATCCTCCTGAAGCCTGTAAAGTTTCTCAACTCTACTCTCGAGCATGCGGACGTTGAAAGATAGCCCCGATGCACAATAAACACCAAAAGGAGTCAAACCAACTGCCTTGAAATCGGGGTTATTTACGTAAAATTTATTATTTATTTCACCTCTCACAATTTTTGATCTCTCTTTATTCATCCTTTTAAAAATAGTCACTAAAATTTTCCCTCATGATGCACAAAAAAAAAAAAAAAAGAAATCAATCATTGGAGGGTTTGCCAAGGTGGAATCAGGCATTCTACCTCTGCAAGCTATTGTAGCTGGAATATATGATCAACCATGAAAATTATTCGGATTATTTTCAGAAAATTAGATTCAGACTATGAGGATGGATGTCTCTGTAGTAAGTATCAAATTTTTAGCCCCTTAGCACTTATCATCTGGAAATAACGGCAAAATTACAACAAATTTTCTTTTTTCATAGACAATATTGATCAATCAAAACTTCTGTTGTAGCTTTGCCTTTGTTTTCAAAAAGGCTATAACATTTGAACTGAAACTCCGGACCAACTAGGCACATTGTACAAATCAAATTCGTCGAAAAAAGTCAACGTCAATAAATGTTATTATTTGAAACCAGTTTCACATGGTTCTAAAACTGCGAACATTCACCTCAACAACTCAAACATCATGAACAAACTTGATCTCATTTTTCTCATAAGGATGTATACGGCCTTGTCTCCCCGGGACGTTTCATGGGATTTATCCCAGAGAAAAATCTCCTTTGTGAAGTTGGGAAAAATATTGAGTCAATCTATACTCATCACAGTACCAACTAGAGTCTTTGCAGAGTCTTCAGAGCGATTCAGAGAGAAGAAGAAATTTTGTTGTTTTGTTTAATGGGGAAAAAGCCCAGAAGTCTCATCCCTGCGATTCGAACTTGGGACAAATCCCATGAAACGTCCTTTAGAGACGAGGTCCAAGCATTTGTGCCTCTGCGTCAAATCCTACGGGTAGCGTTCAAAGTGTTGATGCTGTATCCATGGTTTTGTTTTCATAGATAGTGACCTGGTGCTTAGACTTTTTAGAATAGCGATCTGTCAAAATGCTCACTTTGAATTCCGATTTGTTAAACAAGTAGATGGTGTCACTCTTTTTTTCCCCAAGAGTGATTCCTACATTTACTGTCAGATCTCACTATTTCCTGTCTTTCCACAAAATTCCACCATCAACTTAACTTTTTAATAGGTAAAACTAATCTACTAAATGTATGAAAACATCGGAAATCAATCCATGGTAGAGAATGGCGTCAATTGTTCTTTGAGAAATTTAAAAAAAAAAAAAAAAAAAAAAAAAAAAACTCGACGATTGAAAACCTTGGAGGAAGGTAGGAAGCGGCCGCTTCCAGCCCCCCCTCCCCCCTCATTCACGCGCCGTCATTTTTTCTTGGGTCCTACGGAAGAGGTGGGTGGCATCTGCTTGTGAGAGCTTGTACTTCTTATAAATGCTCCTACAGAGTGCGATGATTTCTCTCGTAAAAACGCCTTCTATTGAAAGAATAAACCAAATCACAATGCAACTGTCACGCACACCATTGCTGCATTGACAGTTGCCGCTCACCATATTGAAGGCGTTCTTAAAATAAATGGAGTTCAAGCGTCGGAAGTGTTATACTCAAATGCTTCACTATCGTTGATCGAAACCGTCAACAATAAATTTTTTCAATCATTCATTTTGCCATGGTAAGTGAAAATTAGTGGTAAACTTACAAGCTTTTGACTGCGTACATACAACGTATATGGTATAAGGAAGTAACTTTATTAGACTATTTATTAGAATCCACGGCTGCTACGAAGAATGAAGAGGATAACGCTGCGGATGGGATAGCAAGTGAAGCTTATCTTCATTTTATTGAGAGTTTTAAAGCATTATGTGCGACCATCCTCCACTTCCTTGAAATTTAAAAGTGTTGTGAATTTAAGGAGCTGAAAAACGGGGACACTCTATGCTGCCGTGCTAAGTAAAAACGCCGTATGAGCCTTCAGGCGTTGCAAAATTTCCTCTGACAAATCGCTAATTTTCGGGAACATTTTTGAATATTTTTCTGTCAATTTCTAAGGTAATTTTGTTTGTAATTTGATCTAAAGTGTCTGAAAATTTCGAGGAAAAATATTCACAATTTTCCTCCAAAATAAACATTTTATCGTAGGAAATTTGGCAACTCTCGACAGGGCCGGATTTACCTACTTGCCGCCCATGCATGGGCCGCCTATATTTTGCCACCCCCTTCTCATTCGTTCCGAAACATCAATTAAAACCATCAAGTGCACGTGCCAGAGGGGGAGGGGTGCATAAGACGCGTTTACTCGTGTTGGACACATTTTTTGCGAAAGCCGTGTCAACACTACTAGCAAAAGTTCTCGAAACTTTCAGCGGAAGTGAAGTTCCGTAAACCTATCTCTGTGTGGACAAGTCTCTCCATTTACAAGAAGTATTGAACGAAAAAATTACGAAAGAACAAACATAAATATGGTTACCTACTTCCGGCGCGCCGCACTGTAGGTATTTGGCGCAATGCGTGAAGTATTCATGCAGTCTTGTAGGCGCCATGCGTTTCACGCCGACAGCGACAGCTGCTGCTGCTGACCGCACAGTGTTTGATGCAATGCGTGAAGTATTCATGCAGTCTTGTAGGCGCTAATATATGTTACATGCCGACCGCCGCGCCGCGCCGAGGGCTTCTCCTTTTCATCTCAAGTCCTCGTCATCATTGCTCTCTACGTGTTTGGTTTCTCTTTTAACTCGACTATTTGTGCTGCTTTTTATATCACCGAAAGACGTCAAAATTAGAAATATTACACTATTCTCTCAGGAAATGAGAAATTTTGTCGCGTTTTCTCGTTTGTAATTTTTTTTCTGAGTCCGATTTTTTTTTATACCTACATTTAAAAAAATTCAAAATTTGCCCCCCCCCCCCCTAAATCCGGCCCTGACTCTCGAATGTTCATATGGCGTTCTTCCTTAAGCCCGTATCCCACGATCAAATGAACCCATCAAATGCAAGATGGCGGGTTCATCAACATTTGGCGGCCCGCTAACATTTGATAGCGGACTTGCGCGAAAACCTGTCGCCATTTTGCATTTGATGAGTATTTGATAGGTTCATATTTTGATCGTGGGACACAGGCTTTAGCACAGCAGTGTGGGTGTGTGTGTGTGGGGGGGGGGAAGGCTGTCTTTGTCCAAAGCCCCTTTTTTGCTTCTATTTTTTGCAAGTAAAGCAGTGAAAGCCAGAAAATACGCATTACTGACTGCGGCGTTGCAAATTTCTATTGTTTAGAAGAGACATGATCAAATATGTTTTTTTGAAACTTTTTTGTGAATTTTCGTCACTCATTGTCAGTAAAAATATTTGCAAAGATTTCAAAGAGATTTTAGTTGGTTTTCTTTAAAGAAAAAAGAACAACTCGACCGAATCGAGACATTTAAAACTTCGCGATTAAGATGTACTCTTTTCTACAATCATGCAATATTGAATTGAAAAAAAAGGGAAGAGCTTATACTGCTCATACCTCAGGCAACTTATTATTTTGGTTCTATCGTTTTATTGCTTAAAATTGCCTCATTGGATAAAACTTGTCAGAAGCGTTCAATCATTCTCGGAAGGAAATCAAACGGCTCTGCGCGACAAATATTTATAAATGAAATTAAATAATTCAGGTAGAGCGCTAGAGACTTATCGCGATCAACGGTGAATCATCCAAACCATGTTTCTCGGTTTGTGACGTTCCAGACTTCCTGTCTCACTTCATTTTTTAAATGGAAAATAATTCAACAGCAAGTCTGAAAAACTGTATATGCGGCAAAAACTCTGTGAAAATTTCAAAGAATGATGGTGATTTGTTTCCTTTTTAATAAATAAAATAGGAGCAGAGATTTTAAAACACCGCATACGAGATACGTGGTTTGGGAGTTTCCCGCCGTCATTTTGAAACTGGCGGTACTGTTTCGGTCATCGGTGACAACACGTCGAAATCGGTGTTTGATGGTGACGTACTGTGTTTTGCTGGTTTGGTTTTGCGACTCCGTAAATCGCGCTTGATTCTGGCGATTTTCGTTATTATTTAATGATTAATTATCTATTTTTATTTTCAAATCCGGTACGTGCTATCCCTCAGTCGGTATTCGCTATTTATAAACTTTGTTAAGTGCACCCGGTAGTCGTTAACTTCAAACTGGACCGCCCCATTGACAGATGATCAAGAATCCGTTAGGCTTTTCTGGCGTACATTCTTCTGTCAGGTATTTAAATTTTTTACCCTTAATCCACGTATTTGTTTTCTTTTTTCTCGATTTTTGAAGTCGAGTCTCAATCACCCCTGAGAAACCAAGGATACGGTTCGCTAGCCTTACCATGGTTGACAGTAACCTAAAGTCAATCGGTCATCGTCTTTGCTTTCATTGCTGGTATCTTATATCCACTGAATGTTAACGCTTACTTGTTTCGTTCGTCGTTGGTCCCTGTTGTTGAATATGTCTAAAGTTTTCATTTGCTCACCGATATCTTATCGAAAAAATCTTTTGTTAATTGCGACTTACCCATGATCCATACTCTTGGGGCGTATTAAACAACAACTGTAGAGTTAGTGGTCATCTGTCTGTTTACACCTGGATGAATCTAGCTCTAGTAAGTTTAAATATTGGATGAACAATTGCTCATTCAGACGCATTCCTCTGTAATTTTCACTGTGTATCATTCAAATCACATGATTTGTTCTAACTGCATCAGCCAACTTGTAGACAACAGAAACGGTCATGAACCGGAAACAAATATGACTGTCTGTTAGGAAGTACCTAGATCTCAGTATTAAAAGAATCAAAATTGACTTAGTAGTGACCCTGCTT